GAAAGGAGGAAACCATGAAAATGAATAAAATCTGGCTACCAGTATTAAAACAAACTCTCTAAAATCAGGTCAGTATATAAAGAGGAACACTAAAAAAAGGGGAATTCCAGACATGAATCAATCAGGGCCAGCTAACACCTCCCAACAAAAGATTCCCCGGGCAGCAATCAGCCAGGCTTTGAAGCTGCAAGGCCGTTAAATGCTAATCAAGGTGGCCAATTGCAACATTCAAACTTGCCTCCAACAAACAAGAGTTCTTTCTCCCTCCCTGGAAAATAGGCAACCCCACTTGCCTAGTTTCCAACAGACCCCTCAACCTCTGAGGATGCCTGCCATAGATGTGGGCGAAACGTCAGGAGAGAATGCTTCTAGAACACGGTCATACACCCCGGAAAATTCACAGCAACCTAGCATTGTATGCATTTGGGACAAGGGGATGCTAAGTATAATGACAATTGAATATCCTATCAACAGCTTTACATTTCAAGCACAATTGGAATTTTGTGGAATCTTTTTTCTATTGATGAGGAAACCCCTGGCCAATTAATAGACAGTGCAAGGTGCAAAGCATCAATGAGGATCAGGTATGTATATGTAATTATTTTCATTTCCACCAGCTTTCCCAAATCCTCTGCCCTCCAAATGTGTTGGACTACAACAACTCTAGTGAAGTGTATGTGTGTGTTGTATTCCAGAAACATGGAAGACAGGAGGTTCAAGCAAGGCTACTTGAGAACAATTCTCAAAAGAGGCAGCCATCTCTGTCTGTTCCAGCAGAAAGAACCGAGTGTCCTGTGGATCTTTTTGGACAACGAACAGTCGCAAGTTGCAGGAGCACTGAACAGGAAGGTCAGAGGGAAAAAAGGAACTAGAACCTGCAAACTGAGCTCCACATTTCCTTTCTCTGTGATCTCCACGTGCAACTGGACACTGCCATGCCATATAATCCATTTCAAAGTAGATAACCTGGATTTATTTGGCAGTATGGAAGGGACCTCTAGAGTCAACTTCCAGAAAAAGACTCACACACTGGAGGATCTAAAGATTCCTTGAGAGACTTTGGGCCCTTTTACACTGCCATATAAAATCCAGATTATCTGCTTTGAACTGGATTATACTGCAGTATAGACTCATATAATCCAATTCAAAACAGTTAATGTGGATTATCTACTTTGATAATCTGGATTGTAGGAGCCGCAGTGACTCAATGGGTTAAACCAGGCATGGGCAAAGTTGGGCCCTCTGGGTGTTTTGGACTTCAACTCCCACAATTCCTAACAGCCTACAGATTGTTAGGAATTATGGGAGTTGAAGTCCAAAACACCCAGAGGGCCCAAGTTTGCCCATGCCTGGGTTAAACCCTTGTGCTGACTGAACTGCTGAGTTGAAAACCTGAAGGTCAGCAGTTCGAATCTGCGAGATGGGGTGAGCTCCTGTCTGCTAGCCCCAGCATCCCACGAGAGAAGCCTTGCACAGGATGGAAACACATCTGGGTGACCCTTGAGCAACGTCCTTGCAGGCAGCCAATTCTCTCACACCAAAAACGACTTGCAGTATATTCTCAGTTCGCTTTTGACACGATTAAAAATAATAATATCTGGATTATATGGTAATGTAGAAGAGGCATTTCCCTAAATAATAAAATTCAAAAAACTTAAAACTCACAAATCTGAAAGGTCAACTGTCTAATCATAGTTATATCATTATGACCGGAAGAGTAATCAATACTTTTTTTATGTGTGTGTCAGGAATAATTTGAGAAACTGCAAGTCACTTCTGTTGTGAGAGAATTTGCCATCTGCAAGGATGTTTCCCAGGGGACGTCTAGATTGTTGTAGGTTTTTTCGGGCTATATGGCCATGTTCTAGAGGCATTCTCTCCTGACGTTTCGCCTGCATCTATGGCAAGCATCCTCAGAGGTAGTGAGGACATCTGGATGTTTTGATGTTTTACCATCCTTGTGAGGGGCTTCTCTTATGTCCCCGCATGGGGAGCTGGAGCTGACAGAGGGAGCTCAACCCGCTCTCCCCAGATTTGAACCGCTGACCTATCAGTCAGCAGTTCTGCCAGCACAATGGTTTAACCCATTGCATCACATTATACTTCCATCAAGACTGTAATGAGGTGACTTTGCAAAAGTAATGTGCTGAATGAGAACAACATAATAAATGAGGAGCACCTTGGTGGAGAGCGACTAATTAAGAAATAAAGTGATGATGATGATGATGATGATGGTCACTCCTCCTTGTTACTCTCAGAGGCCAGTTTTTAGACATTGTGAGTGGATTTATTTTATGTATTGTCGAAGGCTTTTATGGCTGGAATCACTGGGTTGTTGTAGGTTTTTTCGGCTATATGGCCATGGTCTAGAGGCATTCTCTCCTGACGTTTCACCTACACCATGGCCATATAGCCCAAAAACCTACAACAACCCAGTGATTCCAGCCATAAAAGCCTTCGACAATAGGAGAGAATACCTCTAGACCATGGCCATATAGCCCAAAAAAACCTACAACAACCCACAGATTTATTTTATGTTTTTTCCTTGGATATTCCTTGTCAATCCTAAAATGGAAAAGTGGTAAGTAACAAAGAAGTAATTTCTGTTGCCACTGCCATTAATTACTTTTCTAAAGAAGTAATGGGAACTAATTGCTGTTTAGAATCAAAATCCCAATTGTTGTCACCCCAAGATGCCCTCCTCTGGATGGATGGGAAAGCAGACTGGGAAATGAAGCATTTTTGAAGCCCACAAATGACATCTTTTCTGCTCTCCACGGCTTCCTCCAAGAGTATTGTGCATTTTTTAAAAACTGGGAACAAGAATCATCCTACAGATGCTAATACATAGTTTTCCATTCAAAATACTTTGTTCAGTTGTAGATCGACAGGGAAGAAAACATATTTCATTAACTTAATGATCTTTTTTAGTTTGTTAATTTAAGCATGAGATCTAAGATATGAATATATACACATGTCAAATTACAGAATTAATTCTTCTCTGGTTTAGGTCAAGCTGGCAGGTTCAAAGCCAACACAAGCATTTAGATCAGGGTTAAAACTAGCGTCCGTTTGCTCTTTCCAGGTCTTTGCACTTCATCCTTTTAGCAGATGCTACTGTTTTCTGAAAGAAAGGGAGAAAAAGGAAGAAAGTCCAATGAGAAAAGTGAAATTCAGAAAGGTTAATGCTGATTTTTTAAAATTGCATACATGTTGAACAGAAGATGAATTTATTTTTGCACATTTATAACCGCAACGATCTTTCTTCCATCACGCAACTCAAAGCGGAATATAAGAGGGATAGTGTTGTGTACAATTTTATAAATGTTCACATACCTGACTCTCTTCACGTTGTTCGGGAAGGACCAGCTTGGGACGATGCGTGGCTTGGAGGGTTAGCTGATGCACCTCTGGCTTGTCTGGTGGCCATTTCCGCATGGATGCTCCGAGGAATACAGGATCCCACAGCGGCATTCTTTGATTTCTTGCCTGAAAGTCAAACTCTAAAATTGGCACACTGCAAAACTTAGTCACCGGGTGAAAGAAGTCAAGCATGTGGGAAAGTATATAGCTGACAGCTAACTCACTGCAGATTCAGGCTCAATCTTGACTTATTTCTGCCAAACTGGAAAATTGATGTCCCCACATGGGAGCTGGAGCTGACAGAGGAGCTCACCCTCTCCCCAGATTGAACCGCTGACCTATCAGTCAGCATTCCTGCCAGCACAAGTTTAACCCATTGCATCACATTATACTTCCATCAAGACTGTAATGAGGTGACTTTGCAAAAGTAATGTGCTGAATGAGAACAACATAATAAATGAGGAGCACCTTGGTGGAGAGCGACTAATTAAGAAATAAAGTGATGATGATGATGGTCACTCCTCCTTGTTACTCTCAGAGGCCAGTTTTTAGACATTGTGAGTGGATTTATTTTATGTATTGTCGAAGGCTTTTATGGCTGGAATCACTGGGTTGTTGTAGGTTTTTTCAGGCTATATGGCCCTGTTCTAGAGGCATTCTCTCCTGATCTCCTAGGAGAGAATGCCTCTAGACCATGGCCATATAGCCCGAAAAAACCTACAACAACCCAGTGATTCCAGCCATAAAAGCCTTCGACAATAGGAGAGAATACCTCTAGACCATGGCCATATAGCCCAAAAAAACCTACAACAACCCACAGATTTATTTTATGTTTTTTCCTTGGATATTCCTTGTCAATCCTAAAATGGAAAAGTGGTAAGTAACAAAGAAGTAATTTCTGTTGCCACTGCCATTAATTACTTTTCTAAAGAAGTAATGGGAACTAATTGCTGTTTAGAATCAAAATCCCAATTGTTGTCACCCCAAGATGCCCTCCTCTGGATGGATGGGAAAGCAGACTGGGAAATGAAGCATTTTTGAAGCCCACAAATGACATCTTTTCTGCTCTCCACGGCTTCCTCCAAGAGTATTGTGCATTTTTTAAAAACTGGGAACAAGAATCATCCTACAGATGCTAATACATAGTTTTCCATTCAAAATACTTTGTTCAGTTGTAGATCGACAGGGAAGAAAACATATTTCATTAACTTAATGATCTTTTTTAGTTTGTTAATTTAAGCATGAGATCTACGATATGAATATATACACATGTCAAATTACAGAATTAATTCTTCTCTGGTTTAGGTCAAGCTGGCAGAGTCAAAGCCAACACAAGCATTTAGATCAGGGTTAAAACTAGCGTCCGTTTGCTCTTTCCAGGTCTTTGCACTTCATCCTTTTAGCAGATGCTACTGTTTTCTGAAAGAAAGGGAGAAAAAGGAAGAAAGTCCAATGAGAAAAGTGAAATTCAGAAAGGTTAATGCTGATTTTTTAAAATTGCATACATGTTGAACAGAAGATGAATTTATTTTTGCACATTTATAACCGCAACGATCTTTCTTCCATCACGCAACTCAAAGCGGAATATAAGAGGGATAGTGTTGTGTACAATTTTATAAATGTTCACATACCTGACTCTCTTCACGTTGTTCGGGAAGGACCAGCTTGGGACGATGCGTGGCTTGGAGGGTTAGCTGATGCACCTCTGGCTTGTCTGGTGGCCATTTCCGCATGGATGCTCCGAGGAATACAGGATCCCACAGCGGCATTCTTTGATTTCTTGCCTGAAAGTCAAACTCTAAAATTGGCACACTGCAAAACTTAGTCACCGGGTGAAAGAAGTCAAGCATGTGGGAAAGTATATAGCTGACAGCTAACTCACTGCAGATTCAGGCTCAATCTTGACTTATTTCTGCCAAACTGGAAAATTGGAAAATAGACTACATGAGGCAAAGATCATATTTACATGCAGATCTCAGGGCCACACTTCAGTGTGTGTATATGATATTGCTAGCATCTTATTGCCCATTTGAGTCCCCTTTGGGGGAGATAAAGCAGGGTATACACTATAATACTACTAATAATGGATTGTTGATGTTGCAATCCCAGGTGATAGCAGGATTGAAAAAAAAAACAACTGGAAAAGCTGACACAATATGAGAATTTAAAGATCGAACTGCAAAGACTCTGGCACAAGCCAGTTAAGATGATCCAAGTGGTGATTGGCACACTGGGTGCAGTGCCTAAAGACCTTGGCCTGCACTTAAACACAATAGGTGCTGACAAAATTACTTTCTGCCAGCTGCAGAAGGCCACCTTACTGGGATCTGCACGCATTATTTGCCAATACATCATACAGTCCTAGACACTTGGGAAGGCTCTGGCATAAACCAGTACAGGTGGTTCCAGTGATAATCAGAACATTGACAAAATCACATCTCCTGATTTCCTGGCTGTAGTCTGTGTCTTTGCACCTAGAAATACAAAGTCTGTCACTGCTGCCACATTTTCTTCCTCTATTTCCCAGTTATCAATCAGTGTAGTTGCCATAATCTTGCTTTTTTATGTTGAACTGCAACCCAGCTTTTGCGCTTTCTTCTTTCACCTTGGTTAGAAGGCTCCTCAGCTCCTTCTCGCTTTCAGCCATCAGAGTGTTATCATCTGCATATCTAAGGTTGTTAATGTTTCTTCCAGCAATTTTAAGTCTTGGATTCATCAAGCCCTGCATGTTGCATGATGTCTTCTGCATACAAGTTGAATAGGTTGGGTGAGAGTAGACAGTCCTCCTTTCCCAACCCTGAACCAGTCTGTTGTTCCGTGGTCAGTTCTTACTTCGCTACTTGGTCATTATACAGATTCCTCTGGAGACAAGTAAGGTGACTTGGTATGCTCATACCACCAAGAATTTGCCACCATTTATTATGATCCACACAGCCAAATTTATTTATTTATAGTATTTGTATACCACTTTTCTCATCCCGGGGGGGACTCAAAGGCTTTAGAATAGTCAAGAAAATAGAAATAGATGGTTTTCTGAAACTCTCTGCCTCCCTCCATTATCTATAGGATAATGGCAATTTGGTCTCTCATCCCTCTGCCTTTTCTAAACTCACCTTGTACATCTGGCAACTCTCTCTCCATGTATTGTCGAAGGCTTTCATGGCTGGAATCACTCAGTTCTTGTCGGTTTTTTCGGGCTATATGGTCATGTTCTAGAGGCATTTCTCCTGACGTTTCGCCTGCATCTATGGCAAGCATCCTCAGAGGTCTCACCTCTGAGGATGCTTGCCATAGATGCAGGCGAAACGTCAGGAGAAATGCCTCTAGAACATGGCCATATCTCTCTCTCCATGTATTGCTGGAGTATACCTTGCAGGATCTTGAGCATTACCTTACTAGCACGTGAAATAAGTGCCACTGCACAAAAGTTTGAGCATTCTTTAGCATTTCCCTTTTATAATAAGTAGCATATTGGAGGACCCAACAATTGATTAATTAATAACGTTATTTATATGAATATTTAATGCAGTTTGGACGGCATTATATAATCACTGTAGACTTGCAACCGGTAGGCTGTTAGGAATTGTGGGAGTTGAAATCCAAAAAACCTGGAGAGCCAAAGTTTGCCTATGCCTGCTGTAAACTCATATAATGCAGTTCAATGCAATTAAACTGCATTGTATCAGTGTAGATGGGGCCTGGGACTCAGGGCTGCAGCAGAAACCAGACTAGGCTGCCTGAGGAGAATCATATATTGCCACTCACAAATATTGACATCTGTAATAACAACAACAACAACAACAACAACAACAACACTTTATTTGTACCCCGCTACCATCTCCCCAAGGGACTCGGTGCGGCTTACATGAGGCCGAGCACAAATACAACAATACACGCAATAATAACAACAATACAAGCAATTAAAATAAAAAAAACATGGACAATAAGATATGCAACATTAACAATAAGACAACACACAATTAAAACTGTGGGAAGGCCAAATGTAAAATTAAAATTGAAAATAATGCTGGAGCATGGGCGAAAAGGTGGTAGTGGCGTTTGTGGAAACATGCAGACCTAAAATGTAAAGTGCTTCGGAGGACAAGGTGCTATGGGATAATTATTGTGGGAAGGCACATGGGAACAACCACGTCTTCAAGTTCCTTCTAAAGACTGCCAGAGTTGGGGCCTGCCTGATGTCCCTAGGGAGTGAGTTCCAGAGTCGAGGGGCCACCACCGAAAAGGCCCTTTCTCTTGTCCCCACCAACCGCGCCTGCGATGCTGGTGGGATCGAGAGCAGGGCCTCTCCAGATGATCGAAGAGATCGTGTGGGTTCGTATACAGAGATGCGGTCATGCAGGTAAGCGGGTCCCAAACCATTCAGGGCTTTGTAGGTGAGAACCTGCACCTTGAATTGAGTCCGGAAAATGAATGGATACCACAACATCTGTTGTGTTATCATCAATACAAAAGAAATCTCACGGGTACAGATAAAAGCCTTGACCGTCATCTTGTGGGAATGTCAATAATTTATAGCTATATGGACCAGACTTTCAATTCAGTTTGGTTCTGATGAAAGTAGACCAACTTCTACAAGGAAAGCATGGAACTTTCACTTTTATTGAAATTTCTGTGACCCATTTGATTCCACTTTGGGGAAAGTGAATAAACAACAATAATGAAATCTGCATTAAAGCACTTGAGTGCAGGAGCCCATAACTGATTGATTCATCTACCCAGGCCTTGATTGCTTTGCATTCGTTATGCAGCCAAACATGTTAATGACGAACTGAGATTCCCCCTCCCCACCATCCTCATCACAACTGGAAAACTTTTGCTTTGCTTTTTGATGTTACACAGTATGAGGTCATCCAAATGTGTCACAATGCATTGCTCACCACCATCATGAGAAATGACCAGATGCAGTGTGAGATCAAGAGCGTGGTGGTCCATTGGCACTCACTTTTGTTGGTCTCGGTTCCAACTGTTTCGTCAGCAGAATGAGGAAAGATGAAATCAGTGCCGCACAGGTGGCCGACGCCTCCCTGTAGGCTTACACTGGCAATGTTGGCGATCTTCATGGGGCAAGGTTTGGAGAAACTGAGTTGCAATCCAGGGAATCCAGAGTCCATTGGAGAGTTAGCTGAAGGAAAGATCTATATGATAAGAAGCAAAATTAGTCTTGGAAACCATAAAGGAAAAAATGCTACTTACCTAGAGATCAGTTATTATAAAACTAGGCTGGGATAATAGCTATGTTTTCACCTGAGAAAACACTTTTCTAGGAATTTCAGGTCTTCCAACAAAACTGTATGGTCAACTTTCACGAGCTATCCAGAACGCTAAGATCTTCTGGGAAGGCCCTGCTCTCACTCCCGCCTTCCTCACAGATGCGTTTGGCGGGGATGAGAGACAGGGCCTTCTCAGCGGTGGCACCTCGACTGTGGAACACCCTGCCTAGAGAGATACGATCAGCCCCCTCCCTCCTGTCCTTTCGAAGAATGGTGAAAACCTGACTTTTCGAACAGGCCTTCCCAAATATGGCATTGTTGTTCATTCGTTCAGTCGTCTCCGACTCTTCGTGACCTCATGGACCAGCCCACGCCAGAGCTCCCTGTCGGCCGTCACCACCTCCAGCTCCTTCAAGGTCAGTCCAGTCACTTCAAGGATGCCATCCATCCATCTTGCCCTTGGTCGGCCCCTCTTCCTTTTGCCTTCCACTTTCCCCAGCATAATTGTCTTCTCTAGGCTTTGCTGTCTCCTCATGATGTGGCCAAAGTACTTCAACTTTGTCTCTAGTCTCCTTCCCTCCAATGAGCAGTCGGGCTTTATTTCCTGGAGGATGGACTGGTTGGATCTTCTCGCAGTCCAAGGCACTCTCAGAACATTCCTCCAACACCACAGCTCAAAAGCATCTATCTTCCTTCGCTCAGCCTTCCCTAAGGTCCAGCTCTCACATCCGTAGGTTACTACAGGGAATACCATGGCTTTGACTAGGCGGATCTTTGTTGCCAGTCTGATGTCTCTGCTCTTTACTATTTTATCGAGACTGGACATTGCTCTCCTCCCAAGAAGTAAGTGTCTTCTGATTTCCTGGCTACAGTCTGCATCTGCAGTAATCTTTGCACCTAGAAATACAAAGTCTGTCACGGCCTCCACATTTTCTCCCTCTATTTTCCAGTTGTCAATCATTCTTGTTACCATAATCTTGGTTTTTTTGATGTTTAGCTGCAACCCGGCTTTTGCGCTTTCTTCTTTCACCTTGATTAGAAGGCTCCTCAGCTCCTCCTCGCTTTCGGCCATCAGAGTGGTGTCATCTGCATATCTGAGGTTGTTAATGTTTCTTCCAGCAATTTTCACCCCAGCTTTGCATTCATCCAGCCCCGCACATCGCAATGTGTTCTGCATACAAGTTAAAAAGGTTGGGTGAGAGGATGCAGCCTTGCCGTACGCCTTTCCCAATCTTGAACCAGTCTGGTGTTCCGTGGTCAGTTCTGACTGTTGCTACTTGGTCCTTGTACAGATTCCTCAGGAGAGAGACAAGGTGGCTTGGGATGCCCATCCCACCAAGAACTTGCCACAATTTATTATGATCCACACAGTCAAAGGCTTTAGAATAGTCAATGAAGCAGAAATAGATGTTTTTCTGAAACTCCCTGCCTTTCTCCATTATCCAGCGGATATTGGCAATTTGGTCTCTCGTTCCTCTGCCTTTTCTAAACCCAGCTTGAACATCTGGCAACTCTCGCTCCATGTATTGCTGAAGTCTTCCTTGCATAGATATATGATATTATGCATATATGATATTATGGACAACTGGCGATGCAACTGGACGATTTGAGATGGAGACGCTTTGATGATGTTTTTAAATGCTGTGTATGATTTTTATGTTTTTATATTACTGTTAGTATTTTAAAGTATTTATGACTGTTTTAATTTGTTGTAACTGCTCTGGCATCGAATTGTTGCCTATTATTAAACTGCTCCGAGTCGCCCTTAGGCTGAGAGGGGCAGTATATAAATGTAGTAAATAAATAAATAAATAAATAAATATGGAGGATATAGTGTAAGAGCCAGGAAATAGATTTTTCTCATGGAAGGGCATGGGATACTTTCAGGAAATGTTTGTACGGGAAAAGAGAAGTGGTAGTCATTTTATAGAATCATAGAGTTGGAAAAGACCTGGTGGGCCATCCAATCCATTCTGCCAAGAAGCAGGAAAATTGCATTCAAAGCACTCCTGACAGATGGCCATCTAGCCTCTGCTTAAAAGTCTCCAAAGGAACCTTCGCTACACTCCAGAGCAGAGCATTCCACTGCTGAACAGCTTTCACAGTCAGGAAATTCTTCCTAATGTTCAGGTGGAATCTCCTTTCTTGTAGTTTGAAGCCATTGTTCCACATCCTAGTCTCCAAGGCAGCAGAAAACAGGCTTGCTCCCTCCTCCCTATGACTTCCTCTCACATATTTATACAGGACCCTCATAATGTCTCCTTTCAGTCTTCTCCTTCTGCAGGCTAAACATGCCTAGCTCTTTAAGCCGCTCCTCATAGGGCTTGTTCTCCAGATCCTTGATCATTTGAGTCACCCTCCTCTGGACACATTCCAGCTTGTCAAATATCTCTCTTCAATTGTGATGCCCAGAATTGGACACAGTATTCCAGGTGTGGTCTGACCAAGGCGGAATAGAGGAGTAGCATGACTTCCCTGGATCTAGACACCTTACTTCTATTTATGCAGGCCATACTTATACTAAGATGCTTTGGTCTCTTTTTGTTTCAAGCTCTCTCTGCCAGAGGATTAAAAATCTGTCTTCCTGCTCTAAAAGATACATATATCTGTGGCGGATATCAGGATGGGATGGAGAATTATAAGAGAAGGAAGTTCCCTGTCTCATTAGATAGCAAATGATGTTCACAAGCCATCCATTGCCATGGCCCTTAATGTCATAGGGTGTGCAGCTTAAGAAACAGGTTTACCATTTAGCCCCATGAATTAAGAGCAGGCTTTTCTGTTCCTCTTTCCCTTTCTCCAAGGCTGGAGCTTCGCTGATATAAGTTCAGCATCTTTTATCCAGAAATTTGAATTCTGACGTTTTCCAAAATCCAAAACTGTTCATATGTCTGGCTGAGACAATGACAGCTTTGCTTTCTGATGGTTCAATGTACACAAACTTTGTTTCGTGCATTAAATTCATAAAAAACATTGTGCTATCTGCAAACTGTATATCAAACACAAAGGAATTCTGTCTTTTGACTTGGGTCTCATCTCCAAGATAGCTCATTATATCCATACTAGCCATCCCCTGTCACGGGTTGCTGTGGCCCAGTCTGGTGAGCTGGAAAATAAAGCAATTAGGAAGTGTTGTTTTCTAATATATGTCATTTCTTCATCGTTGTGTGGGTAAACAGAATTTCTTGCTGTTTCTTTGTCAGTGTTGATGTGGAGACTGTCTGGTTTCCCTGCTCTGGAACATGCAACATATAATTGTCCTTCTTTAGGGGCCCTTTCAAATCTATGATACTATATCTCTCATGTGAATCATATCTATCTATCTATATCTATGGCTGGTTGGCTCTTTGTCAGGAGGGCTTTGATTACGTTTTCTTGCCCTGGTGAAGGGAGTTGGACTGGATGGCCTTAAGTATTTTCTGTTGGTCATGGGGGTTCTGTGTAGGAAGTGTGCCCCAATTCTCTCATTTGTGGGGTTCGGAATGCTCTTTGATTGTAGCAGAACTATAAATCCCAGTAACGACAACTCCCAAATTTCTATCTTCCCCAAACTCCATCTATGTTCATATTTGGTCATATAGAGTATTCATGCCAAGTTTGGTCCAGAACCATCATTGTTTGAGTCCACAGTGCTCTCTGGATATAGGTGAACTACAACTCCCAAACTCAAGGTCAATGTCCACCAAACCCTTCTAGTGTTTTCTTTTGGTCATGGGAGTTCTCTGTGTGCCACATTTGGTTCAATTCCATCATTGGTGGAGTTCTTTGATTATAGGTGAACTATAAATCCCAATAACCACAACTCCCCAAATGACAAAATCATTTTTTTGAGTGATGGTCACTCATTGGATTGTTAGGCGTATGCTGTCCAAATTTGGTGTCAATTCCTCCAGTGGTTTTTGAGTTCTGTTAATCCCACAAATGAACGTTACATTTTTATTTATATAGATATGCCAATATAGATATTCTATTTTTTAAGCATTTAAAACACGAGATACTCAACCTAAACTTAGAAATGTTGACTGAGAGCTGAGAACTTCAGCTTTCATGCTTTTCTTCTCCCAAGGTAGAGGGACATGAAGTGAAATTTCTCAGTTCCCATCTACAAAGGTCTGCTGAGCTTGCAGGATGCAGAGCTTTGAGGAATGAGCCCCTGTGGGTGATATTCAGTGGGCCATATTAGATTTCTGGAATTTTCCTTGTCATGTTCTAGAGAGTTCCTTTGTTTTTGTGATATCCTAGAAAAATCTGTTATGCCTTGTAATCACCCTGGCCAAGCTGAGCGCATATCCTTGAATACTTTTCCGTGGCTGTATATAAGAGCTGACAAGGTGGCATTCAGAAAGGGCAACCATTCAGTGTTACTTCAATTATGCAGCATTACAAACCCATGACAAAAGCTTCTAAGGAACCCAGAGGTGATAGAGAATGTTACTCTAGGTCACATATGTCAAACTCAAGGCTGAGGGCCAAATCTGGCCCTCTATGGCATTTTATGTGGCTCTCCAGATGTTGGACTACAACTCCTGAATTGCTCAACATTAGACACCATGACTACAGCTGATGGAAGTTGGAACACAGTAGCATCTGGAAGGTTGCAGCTTGTTCTCTTTAGCCAGGAGAGTGAGGTTTGAATTTAGATACAAGGCTTGTAGATATGACATCTGACATCAAAATTTCTATTAGCCTTTCCCCAACCTCAGAGCACAAGTGCTGTTGGATTGCAATTCCCATTATCCTCAGTCCACATGGCAGAGAATCAAAGGTGATGGGAGTTGTTCTTCAATAACATCTGAGTATCCAAATTGGGTAAATACTAAAATTATAATTGACCCTTTGTATCCAGGGATTCTCCATCCATGGATTCAATGACGCTTTGAAGGCAACCATAAGGCTGATGTGCTCCTCGATGATGCCCCTGCTCTAGGTCATGGATGGAAATAACATTGATGAAGCTGCTATAATAATAATAATAATAATAATAATAATAATAATAATAATAATAATACTTTATTTGTACCCTGCTACCATCTCCCCAAGGGACTCGGTGTGGCTTACATGAGGCTGAGCCCAAACACAACAATACAAGCAATAATAACAACAATACAATGGTTCCAACACTAGTATAACTTCAGAAGTGGATCTGAGAATCTCTTCAGGACAACATCCTTGTCACCAGGACAAACAATACATGAGATGAAGGGAAGGAATGAGGTCTATATGTCCTACCCCTTCCATTTTCCTATCCTTTGTTTTCCAGGGCAGGGCACCAACTTGGGTGGAGCTCCATCTTATGAAAGTGTCAAGCAGGCCCAGACAAAAATCTGGGTACATACTATGTAAATTTGATACCAAAAGATGGGCTTTAGGGCTTGTTATGCACCACGGGCAGTGGGAAACTGGATCACTTCAGGTCAGGATTTTTGGAGACCATGAGAATAGAGGAGGTGGGTATACAATCTGTGGATCATTTGGTGTACTGTGTTGTTATCCTTTCAGAGGGGAAGCTACGTTTTGACTCTTCATGTCATTTTCAAACATCTCTGGGCTTTTTCTGACAAGCACTGGTAGAAAATAAGATGCTAATTAAGTTAGTTCCTTCTGTGTGAATTTTCTTGTGCATTTAACACCCAGAGTATTTTTGCTCTTTTAAAAAAAAAAGAACAGTAAGATCTTGCTTCTGAACTTTCTAACAAGCACTTAGGGAAGAACACACTGGATGTCATGAAGAGAATGGGAAGAAATTGTGTGTTGTTCCACTTCGGTTGCCTAATGAGATAATGCCTCTTTTCTGTTCCAGCTAAGGAGGTTGAACATCTTCACTGAAGCTTTCTGGAAAACAGGAGATTCCTCTAAAGAGCAGAGAGCATTATCACTTTCCCCCCAGCTGCACTAATATTGCCATGTTTTTTATTTTTAAGTGATGTCCGACGTACAAAAGCACAGGTCAGTTTGGAAATAAAGCGTTTACATCGTGCAGCGATTCAGTCCACAACCACTTAGAAGCCTTGTATACAAAGCACCAGCGAGTGGCAAAAACACGCTCATTTTTGCACAGCAACCCACAGAGGAATTGGCGCTACAGACAGACATACTGCCTCAGTTGCTATGGATATGGCAGGGGATTTGCGTGCTGTTTGTTGGAAAGATTGGAAATTTAAGTACCAGAAATGAAGGTTGAGGGTGGAGTCTACCCTGGGAGACACCTACAAGTTGAAAAAAGAGGTTGAAATTCTCAGTTCTTCTCCAGTGTAGACTGTACTTTGCTTTCTTGCTGTCTCATCTGCTTATTTTGCCTATCTGGTTTTGTTTAGTCCAATCATACATGAGACAGCCAATCGCTCATTGGATTTTTCTCCCCCTCCTGACAGTTAGATATTTTAATAAGCCTAATTTGGTCGCTGAGATTTCACTAGGCATCTGAACAACCTTTTAAACCATCTCTGAAGACATAAGGATTAGCAACCTGAATCCTGGAAAGAAGAGGGGCGAGGATGCTCTCTCTCTCTCTCTCTATATATATATATATATCTGACTTCTATACTTGACATCAGATCTCATTATTGCACAGAACTATATGCAATTCTGTGTCATGACTTTATTTATTCAACTTATAACCTACTTTTTTTTTCTATGATCGCACTCAGGAGAACAAACATGGGATTCTCACGCAATTTTCAACAGTGGCATTGTGACAAATGTTGTGCTTGTTTTGACCATGCTCCAACTCCAAAAGAGAATCAAGCTTAACTGATCTACTGCAACGAACTACTAATACAAACTTCTATCTCCAGCAGAAACAGGTCTTTGGGTTCAGCTAACAGTTGTTAGGTGCTCATTTCAGACCAAGCAACCCCAAAATGCAGAACCATTCACAGTAGATATTGCTACTTGTTGTAGTCCAGCCTTTGATTGTGCCAGCACCTGATTTTGGGGGGGATTCTGGACTTGTTAGTGAACATGATGACACTAGGGATTCTGCGTCAGCAAGTCAGCAGGAGCAGCAAGCGAACCAGAAAGAGATTTTAAGCCCTGAAAATGAATGGTCTCTGTCTGAAGGCCACATTTCAGAAAGGCAGTTTGCTAGGGTAGAAAGGTCAGAAACAGAACTGAGCTCAGAGGATGAAAATGAAAGTCCAGGTGGACAGACTAATGAGCAGTTAGATAGGAGATTTATGTTCTGTCAACACAGAGTTTCTCAGGTGGGTTTACAAAGTTCAAGATGCCTATTAGCCAAGAAGTCCTTATCAGTTTCCAGTGGAGAAGGCATGATTTTCTGTCTATATTAGCAAGACCAGCAGACTGTTTTACCAGTCGAGACAATGTTGGTGACTGAGTATAGAACTTCTAGTTCTATGTTCCAAGCTCCCCTTAATCTCATGTTTTGGATTTATTCTGCTTTTGTATTCCTGTTTTTTGATGCTATCCATGTACTTTGAATTCTGTGGATTACTCCTGATATTTGGTTTTTGGTTTTTTATAGTATTCTGGCTGAATTGTTTTTCATATATATTCTTCAATAAAGTGCTTTGCTATTTTACCTTGGATTGGAGTGTGTGTTAAGTACAGAGGTGATTCCCAGCCTTGGAGTACAACACTACTGTTTGTCCCCACATTTCCCAGCAACTGTAAGGACTACATGTAATAGCCAAGAAAATAGGGAAGTCTAAAGAGAGGGTGAGATGGCTTTATCACCCCAGTCAATCAAAAATGTGGGGCACTTTCATTTGTTGAGCTCAGATTCCACTACACCTCTTCTACTTGGAATCAAAGAGTTGGAAGAGATCTCATGGGCCATTCAGTTCAACCCCCTGCCAAGAAGCAGGAAAATTGCATCCAAAGCACCCCTGACAGATGACCATCCAGCCTCTGTTTTAAAGCTTCCAAAGAAGGAGCCCCCACCACACTCCGGGCCAGAGAGTTCCACTGCTGAACAGCTCTCACAGTTAGGAAGTTCTTCCTAATGTTCAGATGGAATCTCCTTTCTTGAAGTTTGAAGCCATTGTTCGGCGTCCTAGTCTCCAGGGCAGCAAAAAACAAGCTTGCTCCCTCCTCCCTGTGGCTTCCCCTCATGTATTTATACATGGCTATCATGTCTCCTCTCAGACTTCTCTTTTTCAGGCTAAACATGCCCAACTCTTTAAGCCACTCCTCACAGGGCTTGTTCTCCAGACCCTTTATCATTTGAGTCGCCCTCCTCTGGACACATTCCAGCTTGTCAATATCTCTCTTCAATTGTGGTGCCCAGAATTGGACACAGTATTCCAGGTGTGGTCTAACCAAGGCAGAATAGAGCATGGGTAGCATGACTTCCCTGGATCTAGACACTCCTATTGATGCAGGCCAAAATCCAGTTGGCTTTTTTTGCCGCCGCATCACATTGTTGGCTCATGTTTAACTTGTCCACAGAGACCCCAAGATCTTCCACTATATTGCAGATTCCTTTAGATTCAGCAAGGCCTTGATGAAATGGGCCACTCTAACTGAGGGACCATTTCTATTTAAGAGGAGGTGGACACAAATGAATGGCTGGGAGAGGCTAGCTAACACATACACAACCCCCTTCTGCATATACATATGTGACCCTCATACATGCATTACAGTTCAAGCAGAGCTCTAAGCTGGAAAGTCCCTGTGCATGTAAAGACAATAATAATTATGGAGAAGGTCATGTCTCTGTTACGCAGTACTCCTGTTCTCAAAGACAAGTGTGGGCCTGCGGGTACAATGTGAGAATTTGATCTAATGTTAAACGTGACAAGGACAGGCTGGCGTTCTCTCTCGCTTCCTCTCGCTTCTTTGACTTTGAAAGCCTCCCCATTCCTCTTGTATGAACCAACTCAATGAACACCTGCTTCCTAATTCCAACTCTTGCCAAGCTGCATAAATGCATCCCCCTCCCCTCAATTACCTTCCGGAAATCCCTCCTCTGTTCCTCCCCTTCAAGGTAAGTTCAGGAGGAAGAGGTTCCTTGAGAATTAAAAGCAAGCCCTCTGCACATCCTCAAGGTCAGTTGGTGCTGCAGGAAAGGTATGTTTTTTTATTAGCTCACCTTGCTAGTTCTATCAGAAAATGTTACTTTGGTGCACAGAGATAATTATTTTGAACAGATTGCAGATCCCTAGGAGGCATATGCCATCTTTGGGACCTTGGATAGCTTGAGATCGTGGCACCACTGACTGGAACTTAACAGGGCTCATTATTGAGCTGCCATGTGAGAAAACATGGCTACCCCCAAATGCCTGCTGAATGTAAAAAAGAAAGGAAAAGAACACACCAATGGCAACATCTGAGCATGAAGAATCATGTCTGTCTTGGGTCCTTCCCCAAAGGGGAAGAGGGATAAACAACCTAATTGCAGTAAAGGTATTTTACTTGCTGTTCCAGCAAATGGATTTCGGCTCTGGCCCTCTCTTCCGGGCTGACAGTTATTCCATCCAACACCTGAAGATTCGGCAAGCGAAATATAAGAAGTGGACGATGGCAGATCTTACGGGATACCTGAGAGGCAGAGAGAAAGAGAAAGAGGCTGGGAGTTAAGCTGAGCAATAAGCCCCCAGATTGATTGGGTTTGCATCCCTTCTTGGGGGTTGAAATCCAAGTTCTAGCATTAGGCAAAGGTGAGGACAGATGCCGTGTACAGCACTCCTGAATGGAGAAGGGAGGTATATTTTGCATGTACAGACTATGGATCAATCCTGAGCCATTGTACTCTCTAAATTGCAGGAAAAGATTCCACCTAAAAATGAGAAGACCTTCCTGGCAGTAAGAGCTATTTAGCACTGGAATATGCTGCCTTGGAGTGAGGGAGAATTTGTCTCTGGAGGTTTTTAAGCAGAGGCTGGATGGCCATCTGTCAGGGATGCTTTGATTGTGTGTTCCTGTTGCAGCTCAGGATAGATTCACCTTGCTCAGAACAACACCACACACCAAGGCTGTAGGTTTTGTAGTTTATCAGCAAAGCCTTTCTGGGGTATAACAAAAAAAAAAGAGGGGAGAAAACATCTTTAATGATGTATTATCACTTAATTAGTTTGAATCCGCAAGAAAGGGCGAGCTCCTGCCTTTCAGCTCCAGCTTCCCATACAGGGACATGAGAGAAGTTTCCCACAGGATGGTAACACATCTGGGCGTCCCCTGGGCAACGTCTCTGTAGATGGCCAATTCTCTCACATCAGAAGCGACTTGCAGTTTCTCAAGTCACTTCTGACATGATTAAAAAGTTACTTCATTCATTAAACCAGACATCATTTTTTCCAGCCTTCTTGTGTTTCCTAAAAAATGTCCTCCTAGTTTTTTTGTATTTGCCCTTCACAAAAGTTGATGAAAAAAATCTGATGGTTGAACTAAATATTTCCACAGCTTTCTTTGGAAAGTTACATAGATTCCCATCACTGTGGGGGGAAAAGGTTCCCAGGTCTTGACCTTACTGGACTGCTTTTTACTGATAACTCTTGGGAATGGTAAAATATAGTCACGTTTTAAATCCCAACAATGCATTTGCAACTCTCCTCAACCCCATGCCAAACACTGAAAGCCATCTTTGTGACAGTGTTAGTAATTAGATAGAAAAACCCTGAAATATAAGGTATGTAATCTTGCAGAAAAAAATTACTCACAGGATTTCCATATATTGAGAGCTCCTTAATGCAAGGAAGACAATCGAGTTTTTCAAGTTCCGTCAACTCCTGTCCCAAGATAAAAACAAAGTTATAGTCAAGTGACTCCTAAAACAATTCCACTAAAGCAGGCATGGGCAAACCTTGGCCCTCCAGGTGTTTTGGACTCCAACTCCCACAACTGTGGGAGCTGAAGTCCAAAACACCTTTGCCCATGCCTGCACTAAAGGCACAGAGAAGGCATGGATAGACGTACTTTATGTAAGAATTCATATGTAATCAATCAACCATCTATTTATTGGCTGGAAGAGATAAGAAATGTGTCGATGAATTTGCCTGAATCTACTAGGTAGCATGTAAGGGGAGATACTAATTCCAGAGGCTACTTTCAAACTGAGAGCAGCCTTTTCCAGTTTTACAACAGTGCAAGAAAACTCAAATGCTAGTTCCCAACAGGATTAGGACCACAGGCAAATTGTGATGGGGACCAGAAGCAGTATATGGAAATGAGAGTCCACATCCTACTTAACGTGATCATTTTCCCCAAAAGAAATCTTTATTGGGTTGTTGTGAGTTTTCTGGACTGTGTGGCCATGTTCCAGAAGCATTCTTTTTTTGCTTTAGACTTCAGTAGGAACTGTATGCTTTAGACTTCAGTAGAAACAGAACAACAACAAGAACAACAACAACAACTTTATTCTTGTATCCCACCACCAGGATGCAGCACTGAATTTTTTTTTTAAATATTTGTCAAAGGCTTTCATGGCCGGAATCACTGGGTCACTGTGAGTTTTCTAGGTTGTATGGCCATGTTGCAGAAGCATTCTTTCCTGATGTTTCGCCCACATCTATGCCAGGCATCCTCAGAGGTTGATGGGTCTGTTGGGAACTAGGCACAAGGGGTTTATATATCTGTGGAATAATGTCCAGGTGTGAGAAAGAACTCTTTTCTGCTTGAGGCAAGTGTCAATGTTGCAATTAATCACACTGATTAGAAATGAACGGCCTCAGAGCTTCGAAGCCTGGCTGATTGCTGCCTGTCAGACTACACAGAGAAGCAATCCACAAGCATGTGGACAATTTCAACAGAAAGGAGAAAACCATGAAAATGAACAAAATCTGGCTACCGGTATTAAAAAACTTTAAAATCAGGACATTAAATAAAGAGCGACACTCAAAAAGCAGGGGATTTCTAGACAGGAAACAATCAGGGCCAGCAAACACCTCCAAACAAAGGATCTCCCCAGGCAGCAATCAGCCAGGCTTTGAAACTGAAAGGCAATTCAATGCTAATAAATTGCAACATTTGCACTTGCCTCAAGCAGTCAAGAGTTCTTTCTCCCATCCTGGACATTCCACAGATATATAAATCTCACTTTCCTAGTTTCCAACAGACCTCACAACCACTGAGGATGCCTGCCATAGATGCAGGTGAAATGTCAGAAGAGAATGCTTCTGGGACATGGTCATGCAGCCAGGAAAACTCACAGCAACCCAGTGATTCTGGCCATGAAAGCCTTTGACAATGTGTGAAACCTTTATTCCCCACAAATGGCGCTGAAACAGATGGGGATCATTTTTTGTCACATTTTGGTACTACTTCTTTAAAATAGGAAGTGAATACTATTTATTTATTATTTATTTTGCGCATTTCTACCCCGCCCTTCTCAACCCCCGAGGGGGGACTCAGGGCAGCTTACAAAAGGCACAATTCAATGCCAACAACAGACAATAAGATAAAACATGTATCAACAACAATTATAAAACAGTTAAAACAAGTTATACATCACAATCAATAAAAACCAATCTAATGTTCAACGTTCGCCAGCTCAGAATCCGTAAGTTCATTCCACATTGTGACTAAGTGACTCTGGGTCATCTCTAGTTGTGGAAAAGGCGTCCTGTGGTCTCGAAGCAGCCTGGAAGGCCCAAATAAATGGTGAAAATGCCCCCGTGTACCCCAGAAAGTATTTGGGGACTTTTTCGGTCAGGGAGGCAGCTCTCCTTGATTTCCCGTGGCTGTTGACGTTACCCTATACCCTGCACCCCATTTTAGTCCCACAGCTGCAATCTTGTGGCTTTACAAACGTTATTAGATTACAACTTCCCTCCGCCTTCACAAGTACAGTCAATGGTGAAGGATGAATGGGGTTGCAATCAAACATTTATCTGGAGAGCCATTACACCCTCATTCTCGACCATTCCAACTCTATAATTTTGTAACCTCTGCAATCAAATAGAACTTAACTGCTAGTTTGGAGTTGACTGTTTGATGGCTGAATTGCTCCTCACGCAAAGAAAGGGCAACACGAGGATCACATTAACAAGAATGAAGCGCAGGAAGCTTCTTTTTCTACACGATCACATCTGTTGTACCTGAATTCTATTGAGACCGAGGAAAAGCTTCTGCAGTTTGCTCAAAGGGTTCAAATGGTTCAGTTCCCGCAGCCGGTTCTCCTCCAAATGAAGGGCCACCAGAGAGCTGAGTTTGGAGAATGAACTCTCATGGATTGTTTTCACTTTGTTATGGTCTAGCACCAACTCCTGAAGAAGTTGCAGACCATCGAGTCCCTCAATCTGGCTGATCTCATTGCCTGGTTAAAAACAAGATGACAGTTTGGCACACAAAGATCTGGACAAAGTCTCACTGGCAAATCACACCAAATTAAAACAAATATTGACAGTCCCTGAGTTACAAACAAGATAGGTTTTGTAGGTTTGTTCTTAAGTAGAATTTGTTTTTTTCTTGTCTGAGCCCCTTTGCCTCATTGTCACCTCCCTTTCAGATTTCACCTCATTTTCTGTCCCTGTGATACCGTATATACTCGAGTATAAGCTGACCCAAATATAAGCCGAGGCACCTAATTTTAACACCCACAAAAAAAAAAAACCCAAAACAAAAAACTGGGAAAACGTATTGACTCGAGTATAAGCCGAGGGTGGGAAATGCACCAGCTACTGGTAAATTTCAAAATAAAAATAGATACCAATAAAATTACATTAATTGACGCATCAGTAAGTTAAATGTTATTGAATATTTACTATACTAGCCACCCCCTGACCCAGTCTGTATATATGTGTTTTGTGTGTGTATATATATATATATATATATTTGTGTATATGTGTATTTGCATATGTTTTGCACATGTGTTGTAATGTATTTTTTTATTTTATTTTTTACTTTTTAAGTCTCGTCTGCTGTGTTTTTTTTTTAAATTAGTTTTATTGGTTTTTAATTAGTAATAAACATATAACATATAACAAAATACATGTGCAAGTGACAGACAATACAGACAAATAACACTAAACGTGACATGATTTTTGTGCATGGCATCGAGTTAACGCATACATATATTTATTCGTCTGCTGTGTTTTTCAGTGTTTGTATGAGTGATGGTCACTTGTTGGCCTGATACGTGTATTGTGTCCAAATTTGGTGTCAATTCGTCCAGTAGTTTTTGAGTTATGTTAATCCCACAAACAAACATTACATTTTTATTTATATAGATTTCAAAGAAAAACAGTAAACTCGCTCTGTAAGTGGAAAAGTAAGATCGGCAAAAACATATGGTGGTATCAAAAAGACTTTGTAATAATAATAATAATAATAATAATAAACAACTTCATTTGTATCCTGTCCTGTCTCCCTATAGAGACTCAGGCCAGCTTTCAACATTGTAACAGGTAAACATTCAATGCTTATATATAGGGCTTGCAAATATTGGAGTGGAATGGCACATATAGAGTGAGAGGATTTGCAAAAGATTCCACTCCAATATTTGCAAGCCCTATATATCTATATTCATATCTATCTAGCCTTGTCTTTAAGTATTTGTTTGTACATTTCCCCCTATAAAAGTTGCAAGCCCTATATATCTATATTCATATATATGTATCTAGACATCTCTCTATATATAGATAATTATATCTATATAAGATTTGCAAAGACTTCCAAACATGTGAGGGGAAAATTCATATATAAAATTGTGTTTATATATACACATATACATAAACACAGAGATAAAGATATATAGGTACCTCTATATATTTATTGATATATAAAATTATTTATCTTTATATATACACATATACATACACAGAGAGAGATAAAGATATATAGGTACCTCTATATATTTATCGATATCTATATCTATATAGGATTTGCAGAGACTTGTAAACATGTGAGGGGAAAATTAATATATAAAATTATTTATATATATACACATATACGTACACACACACAAATCTACAGATATATAGGTACCGCTATATATTTATAGATATCTATATCTATATAGTATTTGCAGAGACTTGCAAACATGTGAGAGGAAAATTCATATATAAAATTTTATATATATATACACACACACACACATACATATACACAATCTTCAGATATATAGGTACCTGTATATATTTATCAATATCTATATCTATATAGGATTTGCAGAGACTTGCAAACATGTGAGGGGGAAATTCATTGACCATGTTGTAGTAAAATTGTATCCCTTATATAAAGTGGCAAAATCACTGCCATTTTTGAATCCTTTTTGGATTTTTTGCTGTCATTGAGGGGAATGCTTTCAAGTCATTGATTTCTGAATCCACAGACACAGAATCTGTGGATATATAGGGCCTGCAGCACATGGTACACATTGAAGGTCTTTCCTCCAAGTACTAACCATAGCTAAGATACCTTAACTTCAATGATCAGATGGGATCGAATGCCTATAGTATCCTTTTTTACAGCACAAGCTTTTGTAGACACAGGACAATTCTATCAGATATACAAAACGAAGCTGATGTGTCTTCCTTACCTTGTAAAAACAGAAACCTCAGGTTTTTTAGCCTACCGAGCTGAAGCGTTGCCAAATTGGTAATTCCATTGTAGCCCAAGTGGAGAACTTCTAGACTTTCCATTAATGGAGACAAACTTTCGCTCAATCCCACATCCCTAAAATGAAAACAGGAATATTATGATAGTGGGTTGTTGTAGGTTTTTTTCGGGCTATATGGCCATGTTCTAGAGGCATTCTCTCCTGACGTTTTGCCTGCATCTATGGCAAGCATCCTCAGAGGTAGTGAGGTCTGTTGGAACTAGGAAAAAGGGGTTTATATATCTGTGGAATGACCAGGGTGAGACAAAGGACTCTTGTCTGCTGGAGCTAGGTGTGAATGTTTCAACTGACCACCTTGATTAGCATTAATGGCCTGACAGTGCCTAGAGCAAACTTTTGTTGAGAGATGATTAGATGTCCTTGTTTGTTTCCTCTCTGTTGTTGTGCTGTTGTAATTTTAGAGTTTTTTTTAATATTGGTAGCCAGATTTTGTTCATTTTCATGGTTTCCTCCTTTCTGTTGAAATTGTCCACATGCTTGTGTATTTCAATGGCTTCTCTGTGTAGTCTGACATGGTGGTTGTGAGAGTGGTCCAGCATTTCTAATCAAGGTGGTCAGCTGAAACATTCACACCTAGCTCCAGCAGACAAGAGTCCTTTGTCTCACCCTGGTCATTCCACAGATATATAAACCCATTTCCTAGTTCCAACAGACCTCACTACCTCTGAGGATGCTTGCCATAGATGCAGGCGAAACGTCAGGAGAGAATGCCTCTAGAACATGGCCATATAGCCTGAAAAAAACCTACAACAACCCAGTGATTCCGGCCATGAAAGCCTTTGACATTACATTATGATAGTGGGCATGTCTTAGAAACAAATAACCGGCTGCTAGGAATTGTGGGATTTGCAGTCCAAAACACCCGGAGGGCCAAAGTTTGCCCATGCCTGCTTTATTATCTCTGGCCAGTGACATTTATTTATTTTTTGAAATGTATATTGCTCCATTAAGTAGAAACAATTAAAACAGAGAGAGGATGAATGTTGCACTATCGACAGCTCTTCAAAGAATCACCTGCCTGTAGCTTTAATTGCAATGCAATCTATATGAAGTGCACAGACATTTACGGTGGCGGCTTGTGAAAATTGTTATACACAGAAGAAGCCTGAGATTATATCTTAAGAAGGCTCAGAGGGAGTTCTTAATTGCCTTAGGAGAAGAAAAGAAAAGATCACACTGATACTCTGCGTATCAGACAGGGGAATTAAGCAGTTTTTAATTAATTAAAGGGCTCAAGAACTTAATACCCCAACTGATAAGCCTGATTAGAGCTCGACAAAAGGTATCAGCCGTCCACAACCACATGCCGTCTTTGCCAGATGTGTGGGATGGAAGCACAAAAGCCCCACTGTACACCTGGACCCCCTGACTGGGAAGAAGAAAGCTGAGCAAATCGGACTGAGTGGCAGAGACTAAGATGCTCTCAGCAGTCTGGACAAAAAGGCAGGGAAGGAACCGAGACTTTGTTTTCCCATTTAGATGTCTGCTAGGAATTTGCGTCGGAATTCTTTTTTATCTCAGTCTAGGTCAGGGGTATTTTCAGAAAATTCAAAGATTTACAACCTACATGACACAAATCTGTATAAACTCAGCATATGCTCAATCTATATAAATAAAAATGTAATGTTCGTTTGTGGGATTAACATAATTCAAAAACCACTGGACGAATTGACACCAAATTTGGACACAAGACACCTAACAACCCAATGTATGTCCTTCACTCAAAAAAAAATTATCAGTTTTGTCATTTGGGAGTTGTAGTTGCTGGGATTTATAGTTCACCTACAATCAAAGAGCATTCTGAACCCCACCAACGATGGAATCTTGGCACACAGTTCTCCCATGACCAACAGAAAATACTGGAAGGGTTTGGTGGGCAGTGTCCTTTGGTTTTGGAGTTGTAGTTCACCTACATCCAGAGATCACTGTGGACTCAAACAATGATTGATCTGGACCAAACTCTACACGAATACTCAATATGCCCAAATGTGAACACTGGTGGAGTTTAGGAAAAATAGAATCTTGACATTTGGGAGTTGTAGTGGCTGGGATTTATAGTTCGCCTACAATCAAAGAGCATTCTGAACCCCACCAATGATGGAATTGGGCCAAATCTCCTACACAGAATGGCCATGTGGGCCACAGCAACGCGTGGCAGGGGACGGCTAGTAATATCTAAAAGGTAAAGGTTTCCCCTTGACATTAAGTCCAGTCGTGTCCGACTCTGGAGGTAGGTGCTCATCTCAATTTCGAAGAGCTGGCGTTGTCCACAGACACCTCCAAGGTCATGTGGCCAGCATGACTGCATGGAGTGCTGTTACCTTCCCACAGAAGTGGTACCTATTGATCTACTCACATCTGCATGTTTTCGAAGTGCTAGGTTGGCAGAAGCTGGGGCTAACAGTGGGAGCTCTCCCCACTTCCTGGATTCCAACCAGCAACTTTTCAGTCAGCAAGTTCAGCTAATGTTCAACTTGTTGTCCACGATGACTCCAAGATCTTTTTCACACATACTGCTCTCAAGCCATGCGTCCCCCATTCTGTATCTTTGCATTTCGTTTTTTCTGCCTAAGTGGAGTATCTTGCACTTGTCCCTGTTGAACTTCATTTTGTTAGTTTTGGGCAATCATCTCTCTAATCTGTCAAGATCATTTTGAATTCTGCTCCTCTCCTCTGGAGTATTGGCTATCCCTCCCAATTTGTTGTCCTCTGCAAACTTGATGACCCTGCCTTCTAACCCTTCATCTAAGTCATTGATAAAGATGTTGAACAGGACCGGGCCCAGGACGGAACCCTCCTGATGGCACTCCGACTGTCACTTCTTTCCAGGATGAAGAGGAAGCATTGGTGAGCACCCTCTGGGTTCGTCCGCTTAACCAGTCAGCAGGTTGTAGGACAGGCCTGGGCAAACTTTGGCACTCCAGGAGTTTTGGACTTCAACTCCCACAATTCCTGACAGCCAGCTGTTAAGCAAGTTTGCCTATGCCTGGTGTAGGGGTCTGAGCACCAGATCATGACTCTGGGGCCAGGATTTGACCCCTGCTCAGCCTCACAGAAAACCACTGAGCTGACCTTAGGCAATACATACAACACAATAGCCCACTTGTACACAGAAAGAAAAATAAATAAATTCAGGCTATAATGTGACTGGTTTGTTTTTGTTTTTTGTTGTGTCAGGAGCGATCTGAGAAACTGCAAGTCACTTCTGGTATGAGAGAATTGGCCATCTGCAAGGACGTTGCCCAGGGGACACCTGGAGGATTTGTTGATGTTTTATCATCCTTGTGGGAGGCTTCTCTCATGTCCCTGCATGAGGAGCTGGAGCTGATAGAGGGAGCTCATCCGCCTCTCCCCAGATTTGAACCTGCGACCGGTCGGTCTTCAGTCCTGCCGGCACAGGGGTTTAACCCACTGCGCTACCAGGGGTTCCAATGTGACTGGTAAAACTTATTATATAGTTCCAAATTATAGCATTCACAAAACAATATTATGTGCATTTGGTACAGTCACTCAAAAAAGTATCAACACTGTATGTTCTTGCATCGAGTTGAACTTAAATCCGTAGACCTTAGGCGAGGCAATCTCTCATGGCCTCTGAGGAAGGTGATGGCACCCTACCACCACCCAGAACATATCCTGCCATGACACCATAAGAAGGGCACAATAAGAAGGAAAAACAACTTGAAGGTACACAACAACAAACAATGGAAAAGCAGACCAGACAAGCAGCTTCCGGGACTTTTTAGGGAGCCCTTGAGAAACAACATCCCTAGAAGTTGGAGTCCTGTTGTTACTTGGTGCAGGGGCAAACCAAACCCCAAGACTGAGTTGGGACACCAGCTTCTATATACATAAAAAGCAGATTTTTTTTTTTTTTAGTTTTCAAGGCTCATCATCTACATATTTGTTGGGTTGTTGTAGGTTCTTTCGGGCTATATGGCCATGTTCTAGAGGCATTCTCTCTTGACGTTTCGCCTGCATCTATGGCAAGCATCCTCACTACCTCTGAGGATGCTTGCTTTAGATGCAGACGAAACGTCAGGAAGGAATGCCTCTAGAACATGGCCATATAGCCCGAAAAAACCGACAACAACCCAGTGATTCCAGCCATGAAAGCCTTTGACAATACATACTTGTTGCTTTTGGAAGCCCCTTGCTGCCCATAGCCACTGGACGACACTTTCTGATACAGTAGTTGCCTGTTTGTTAAGTGGCTGGAAGGTTTCTGTCTAGGAAGGATAGATTCAATGTGATTGTAGTTTAGGCAAAGAACCTGCATTTAAAAAGGAGAGAAGTGAAATTAATAGAGGTCACAACATCAACTTTGCCCTTTTTATGTATTAGCAAAAAGAATCGCAAATGTGTTCGAGACTTAAATGGAGGAATTAAAGCCAGATTCACATTTTTGGCCACTTTAGCTCTTGCCTTTCCCACCAGGGAAGAACATCTTTGCTTGTAGTTTTGGAATAAATTGCTATTTTCTTATCATAAATACTGTAGTATCAGGGGATTCTATGGTGTGTGAAAACTGTGACTACTGGAGGTTTTCACAAGAGGTGCTCATCCTTTTGGTCAGTAAATGAACAGTCTTGAGGATGGGTTGTTGTAGGTTTTTTTCGGGCTGTATGGCCATGTTCTAGAGGCATTTCTCCTGACGTTTCACCTGCATCTATGGCAAGCATCCTCAGAGGTAGTGAGGTCTGTTGGAACTAGGCAAAAGGGTTTATATATCTGTGGAATGACCAGGGCGAGACAAAGTCCTGAGGATGTTGGGGGAGGAAAATGAATGGAAGGCACACAACAGAGGCAATCTTGCTTAGTCTACAGTGCTTTCCGAGTAGTTCCTTTTGACACACAAGCAAACAATATAGTTAGGACATTCTGTGGAAAATAGTATTTCCAAGCTGTCTTTTAAATATGCTCACAATGCACAATAGGAAAAAGAAAGAAAGAAAAGGAACGAGTAACACACCTTGACATTTGGGAGGAAGACCAAACCACTGAAAGATGTGAGATTGTTGTTCTGCAAATTCACACTGGTGATATTTTTAAACTCCTCTGCTGGAACAAGGTCCACCATTCTGTAACATATTTTTAAAAGTAAAATCTTTTAGAGGAGGAATATAGTTTAGCAGATAGTATTGTTGGTTCTCCGTATATGCAGGAGTTTGATTCCAGAATCATGCGCAGATACAAAAAAATCAGTGGTGGCCCAGATGGCTGCTCTCCTGGGGCATTGTCCACATTTTCTCAGCTCACTTGCATCTGCTTGTCTCCCTCACCCATTGCACAGACACCATTTCCCACAGTTCCCTCCTCATTCATCTAGCATTCATGGTGAACACAAACAGTTCTACCTATCAGGACTTTTAAAGTTCTTCGACATTGTTTTCCTCTGCTTCATACCTTACATCTTTTGTTACATGGCCCTAAAGCAGGGGTCTTCAAACTTTTTAAAGAGAGGGCCAGGCCATTGATGAAGTACTTCCTCATTCTTTGCATGCTTGCTGGAGATTTTTATGGCCTTGTAAATTAGTTAAATTTGCCTCCCCGCATAAGGGGTACCTAAATTTCCTATTTGACAGATGCAACTGTTGGAGGGCCGGATTATAATTTGAAAAAAATTATATGATTGAATTCCTATGCACACTGCACATATCTGTGCAAAAAAACACTTAAAAGCAATACAATAATTAAAATGAAGAACAATTTTAACAAATATAAACTTATTAGTATTTCAATGAGAAGTGTGGGTGTGCTTGTGGTTGATGAGATAGGGTTTTGTTGTTGTTGTGTGCTTTCAGGTAATTTCAGACTTAGGTTGACCCTGAGCAAGGGCCAGATAAATGACCTTGGAAGGCTGTATTCGGCCCTCAGGCCTTAGTTTGAGGACCCCTGTCCTAAAGCTTACCCTTGACATTTCTATGCATCCTATCAAAATCCATATTTTTGGCCCCAATTGACATACACGTATATACAGTGTGTGTGTGTGTGTGTGTGTGTGTGTGTATGTGTATGTGTGTATATATATATTGTGCCGTCACACCCAGACACTATAAATTTAAAACTAAGATCTGCTTCTTTCTTTATCAGGGTGAACCGCGGGTGCCTTTCTTAGAAGCTCAAGATTCTCAGCAATTGAGGCCAGTCCAGATTTGAACATCAACAGAAGATTTATTTTTCAAAGTCCTCAACAGACTTGGCACAGCTTAATGGAGTTACAAACATAAACAGTCAATTTGGGAAACCATATAGATGTTATTTTTTCCTTTTTCCTTCAGTTACTGAGTTAACTTTTCCCCAATGGTAGAAAAATCCTGGGATCTTTTACCCTAACCCTGAGCTGTTATCTTTCAGAAAGAGCAGGTCTTCCCCTATCTAAGCTCACGATTAGTTTTGGAGATGAAGTAATGGAGCCTCTCTCAATGGCAGAGAAATCCTGAGATATTCTCTGGCCCAGCGCTGAGTTGCTATCTTTTAGAAAGAGCAGGTCTTTCTCTATCTGAGCTCAGCACCAGTTTCAAAGGCGAAAGGGTAACCTAAACCTTAACCGTACTCACAATTGCTTGTCCGAGCTGCCTAGCTTGGCCACCAGCACATCTGAGGCTTTTTCTATACTGAAGAAGGCAGGAGAGCTTCTCCAAAATGGAGATCTCATCCCCAGGAAAAAGGGTGGTCTCTAGACCAAAACGATACTTTTTAAAACCAATAACTGCAAAAGGCTTGGAGGTTGGCTTCCAGCCTCTGTTAATGGTTAACTTTCAGGGTGCTGCTAAGACTGTAGCAACCCTGGGGGAAATGCAAAGGGGTGCTATTTCAAGCAACTAAGGAGCAATGCAAACCAAGCTCCTGGAAGACGGAACACACACACACACACACACACACACAGAGCCCAACCAACCCATGATAGGTTGAATCTATGATGCATAGCCTGCAGGCTTCTGCATTTTGGCTGAACCTTGATCTGTTTCCACTGGCCGGATTCCGGGAGACCCCCACCCACCCATTTTTGCACACCTCCCGAAAACGGGTGGGTAGTCGGATATCTGTTTTCGTTTCACAGCCGAAAAATACGGCTAGATCCGGCCCATTGGTGGCAATGGGGAACTTACAGTTCCTGAGATTCTTTCCTTTCTTCCCTTCACGAAAGCAACAAGGTTAAGGAAGAACCCTTCATGGGACCCTTTCATTTTTTCCCTTCAAGAGAGTTGGGTTTCAGCAATGGGGTTAAGGAAGCAAACACAGCTTGCGTAAGACATATCACAGTATTCTTGTACTCCAACTGGCCCAACAAGCAGGGCTCACAGGGAAACCCCATGCAAGGAAGAGCATGTGGCAGCCTCTTTGCCCGTTGCGTGTTTCTGAAAAGTGGAAAAGGACCTGTGATTGGCTGCCACGTGGTCCTGTTATGGATGGGAAACTGTGATGGCTGGGCCCTTGCCATTATGGCCATCCGAAGAAGCCGCATTGGCCTAAGGAAAACAGCTAATACAGATCTGCACACAAGCCTAATAGCCTGTAGATATGGTGGACCAAAAATAAAAGAAAAGGGGCACACATACACTTTTTTCCTTCAGGTTCAAGAAAAGTATTGACACAAAACAGAATCTTATTAATCCTTTTTATTTGTATGAAACACAGCGCTTTAGTTTAGATCAGAGTGGGAAGGTGCTTTTTGTCAATGTCACAGTATTTATCCAATGACGTTCCACAACAACAACAACAACAACAACAAACTTTATTTATACTCCTCTCCATCTCCCCCAGGGGGACTAGGTGCGGCTTACATGAGGCCACGCCCATCAATACAATATAAAAAAATAACACAAAAACATAATAGAACCAAGCAAAATACGTAAGATGCAAAATTAAAATAATATACAACACAACAATATAAAATCAAACATTAAAACCACAGAAAATTTCACTAGGCAGGGCCAGATTCATGGATATATATATATATTTTTAAACACTGGGGGATAGGACATTGTAAATTATCCGGAGGAGGCTCCGGGAATGAGGAAGGATTTTATTGCACAAACCATAAAATAAAGTGCTTCTAAGGACATTTTATGCAAAATGTGGTCAGGGAAAAACTTACATTAAATTACTGAAAGGCACATTGGAATAACCAGGTTTTCCGATTCCTCCTGAAGATTAGGGAAGGAAATAATATTTACAATTTTTCTCACCTTCATTGAGAAAATACACAATGAAAACAGACACCTTGTTGGAAAAATGGTTAACTGCCATGAGATTTTCCATCTTTCTCCTAATTTATTTTTATGCAAAGCATTATTTTCGTGCCGTGAAAGCAAAAAGAGGGAAAGAGGACATTGTATGAAGGTAATAATCACCTCTTTCCACAATGACCACTGAAGAACATGTGAAGTCTGACCTTATCTCCTGTGTGCCCCAAATGAGATTCCAGTTATATTTTTGGAGCCATGGAAAATGTTTTCCTGGGAAATATTAGTTTTTCTTGCTGTGGAATTTTTTCAGAGATTTCAGGATATATAGTGGGAAAGGCTGAAATAGTTTTAGAATTCCTGTTATCACAAAAGAGCTGGGCTGAAAATTACTGACCTGATCATAGAGGCAGTCCAGTTTAATTCTTGCATTTTGCTGAAGTTTGAATGTCCCAGCCTTTCTGCAACCATGTCAGCATTAAGTTTGCCACCAAATAAATCTTTAGCGCTTTCAGTTTCAGCTGGTTCCTATTTGGGAGACATTTGAAAGATGATCCGAAACAACCTGTAACTTTTATTAAATATGTAGTTCCATTCTTGGACAGATAGCAAGATATTTAACCTCAGTAGACTGAAAGCCAAAACCAAGGTTACAACATCTGTTATTGAACTCCAATATGCTGATGACAACGTCGTCTGTGCGCATTCAGAAGAAGACCTACAATGCATTCTAAACACCTTCGAAGAAGCATACGAGAAGCTCGGCCTGTCATTAAACATTGAGAAAACCAAAGTGCTCTTCCAGCAGTCACTAGCCAATCCCTCTCCAATGCCAGAAATACAGCTTAATGATGTAACATTAGAAAATGTTGATCATATCCGCTACCTTGGCAGCCACTTTTCCATAAAGGTCAACATTGACACTGAAATACAACACCACTTGAGCTCTGTGAGTGCAGCATTTTTCCAAATGAAGCAGAGAGTGTTTGAGGACTGGGGCATCCGTAGGGATACCAAGGTGCTTGTTTATAACGCTATTGTCCTCCCAACCCTACTATACACCTGCAAGACGTGGACTGTCTACAGACGTCAAATGCAACTCCTGGAACGGTTCCATCAGCATTGCCTCTGGAAAATCCTGCAAATCTTTTGGGAAGACAAGCGGACAAATGTCAGCAAGCTGGAAGAAGCAAAGACCACCAGCACTGATGCAATGGTCCTCCACCATCAACTCCGCTAGACTGGCCACGTTGTCCAAATGCCCGACCACCGTCTCCCAAAGCAGTTGCTCTACTCCGAACTCAAGAACAGAAAACGGAATGTTGGTGGACAGGAAAAGAGATTTAAAGATGGGCTCAAAGCCAACCTTAAACACTCTGGCATAGACACTGAGAACTGGGAAGCCCTGACCCTTGGGCGCTCCAGCTGGAGGTCAGCTGTGACCAGCAGTGCTGCAGAATTCGAAGAGGCATGAATGGAGGGCAAAAGAGAGAAACGTGCCAGGAGGAAGGTGCATCAAGCCAACTGTGACCGGGACCGCCTCCCACCTGGAAGCCAATGCCCTCACTATGGGAGAAGATGCAGGTCAAGAATAGACTCCATAGTCACCTACGGACCCACCGCCAATCTTGGAAGACAATCCTACTTGGACGCGGAACTGCCTAAGCAAGTAAGTATCTGCCATGTTTTCAGAAGCCTGTACACACTTGCCAAACTCTGGGGTGCCCTTCTAAGCAGATCTACTTTGAGTAAATATTCTATCCTGCCACTTGGGATTGCAGGTTGTGACACTATTTATTTATTTATTTATTTATTTATTTATTTATTTATTGTGTCAGAAGCAAACCAAAACAGTTGTATTGCATTAAAAAACAGACAAGTGAGCTGTGACACTAACTCAAATATTATTTATCAGATGCTTTTTGCAAATTTGGTTACCAATGCACAGGTGGGGAAATGCAAGCATTTACTAAGAGTGGTAGTATAAACACAAGATTTTCTGTGGCTAAAATTTCTGAACATGAATCTGGCTCTCTATCTGAACTTTGCTTAGAAATTTTGGTCTTAGGGAAAAAAAGAGCTTTTATTTCTGCCATTTAAAAAATGTGTAATAAGTAACTTACCACAGCAATACCATCCAAGGCTTTCAGGGATGGGATATGGAAAATAACAAAGAGGCGGTAGTTTTCCTGCTTCCAAACAATCAGATTTCCATACATGTCCAGGATGACCAGGTTGTTTAGCCCCTAGGAAACAACAGGCCAGCTGTCAACAGTCTTAATTAACTTGACAATTAACACCCACACACACTCACACAATAATCCTAAAATAATAGGATTTTTGTAGAAAGATAAAAAATTCTTTGCAAGATTTAATTAATTTCCTTAGGAAACGGCGAGTGGACAGGGAAGGAAAGGAAACTTAAATTCTCCATTTGCAACCTCCTAGGCAGCCAGAATGGGGAGAATGCTGGAATAATTTTTTGAATTTCAGGAATTAAGTAACTGTTGTCAGAACAGGTTTATTGTTATCAGGCACTACTGTACTGAAGGTCATAATATCCTATTCTGCTCTGCCCAAAGGGTTATATCCCTAGATTTTAAACAAAGGATATTTTGTCAAAGGCTTTCATGGCCAGAATCAATGGGTTGCTGTGAGCTTTCCGGGCTGTTTGGCCATATTTCAGAAGCATTCTCTCCTGATGTTTCACCCACATCTGTGGCAGGCATCCTCAGAGGTTGTGAGGTCTATTGGAAACTAGGCAAGTGAGGTTTATATATCTGTGGAATGTTCAGGGTGAAAGAATCGTGTCTGTTTGAAGCAAGTGTGAATGTTTCAATTGGCTGCTTTGATTAGCATTTAATGGCCTAGCAGTTTTCAAGGATTCGCTTCTTACTGCCTCGGGGAATCCTTTGTTGGGAGGTGTTAGCTGGCCCTGATTGATTCTTGTAAATAAAGAGCAAGACTCAAAAAGCAGGGGAATTCCAGACAAGAAACCAAGCTGCTTGTTTAGAAAGCTATTGTTCTTCCAACCCTGCTATACGCCTGCAAAACGTGGACTGTCTATATAAACATCACACTCAACTCCTGCAACAATTCCATTAGCGTTGCTTCCAAATTCTGCAAATTTCTTGGGAAAACAGGAGGACAAAGGTCAGCATGCTGGAAGAAGCAAAGACTACCAGCATTGAAGCATTGCTCCTAAGCAATTAACGTGGACTGGCCACGTTGTCCGAATGCCCAATCACCGTCTCCCAAAGCAGTTACTCTACTCCCAACTCAAGAACAGAAAACATATTGTTGGTGGACAGGAAAAGAGATTTAAAGATGGTCTGGAAGCCAACTTTAAAAACTGTGGCATAGGCACCAAAAACTGGGAAGCATTGGCCCTTGAGCGCTTTAACTAGAGGTCAGCTGTGACCAGCAGTGCTGCAGAATTCGAAGAGGCACGAATGAAGGGTGAAAGGGAGAAATATTCCAAGAGGAAGGTGCATCAAGCCAACCCTGACTGGGACCACCTTCCACTTGGAAACCACCACCATCTATGGAGTGACACGCCAAGACACTACACTTGGAGGGCCATCATCCTCGGACTACGAGGGATCTATCTCTGTCACGCACAAGGGTGATTTTGGAAGTATTTTACATTTCAGAATTTCAGGTACCCAAACTGCATTGCTGTATTCCACATTAATTGCCACGGCAACTTCTTTTGAAATTTAGGGAGGAACTTTTAGAAATCTCTAAACTATAGTGCAGCTAAAAGCGGAGCGAGCTAAGGATCTTCAACAGCTACCACTTACCTTCAGCTGATATATTTCTTGGTTGGAAGACACATAGTTGTTGCTTATGTAGACTTCAATCAGTGCATAGGCCTTCTGCAAACCCACCAGCGATGTGATCCGGTTGTTCTCAAGAGAGAGATAATGGAGATGTGACAGGTTACTGAACACATTCCTGTCCAAGCTGGTGAGATGATTGTTGTTGGCACTGAGTCGAATAAGTTTGGAGAGTTTTGAAATGCCTGGGGAATGTGAAAAGAAGGAAATGTTTGAAAAGTGGGAAGGGTATAATAGGGGAGAGAATATAAATATGGGATGGTGGGTTAGCAGCTTTCTGTTTACCTACATACAATAGCACAAATATTTTATTATTTACTAGCCGTCCCTTGCCACGCGTTGCTGTGGCCCACATGGGGGTTCTGAGTGGGAGGTTTGGCCCAATTCTATCATTGGTGGGGTTCAGAATGCTCTGTGATTGTAGGTGAACTATAAATCCCAGCAACTACAACTCCCAAATGTCAGGATTCTATTTCCCCCAAACTCCACCAGTGTTCACATTTGGGCATATTGAGTATTTGTGTAGAGTTTGGTCCAGATCCATCATTGTTTGAGTGCACTGTGATCTCTGGATGTAGGTGAACTATTATTTATTATTTATTTATTACTGCGCTTGTATACCGCCGTTTCTCAGCCTACATTGGCGACTCAACTACAACTCCAAAACCAAAGCACACTGCCCACCAAACCCTTCCAGTATTTTCTGTTGGTCATGGGAGAACAGTGTGTCAAGTTTGGTTCAATTCCATCGTTGGTGGGGTTCAGAATGCTCTTTGATTGTAGGTGAACTTTAAATCCCAGCAACTACAACTCACAAATGACAAAATCAATTTTTTTGAGTGAAGGACATGCATTGGGTTGTTAGGTGTCTTGTGTCCAAATTTGGTGTCAATTCATCCAGTGGTTTTTGAGTTCTGTTAATCCCACAAATGAACATTACATTTTTATTTATATAGACTAGCTGTATCCGCCACGCGCTGCTGTGGCCAACCTTCCCTCTTTCTCTCCTTCTTTCTTTCTCTCCTTCCTTCCTTCTCTTCCTCTTCCCTTCCTTCCCCACCCCTTTTCCCTTCCTCTTTCCCTCCTTTCTTCCTTGTCTACCTATTCTTGAACTAAAACTCCCACCAGTCCTCCTGATCAATATATCTACCTACCTACCTATCTCTATCTAATATATCCATCTGGAGGATTGCTGGGAGTTGCAGTCCAGGAATAGGAAATTGGAAATATGCAGGGATTGGGATGCTCTCAAAGAAATCCAAGGAGAAGAAAGCTTGCATCTTGGAAGAAGTGCATTTGGATCATCCTCCTTTTCCTAAAGGGCTTGGTCTAGGGGATGCTGGGAGCTGTAGTCCAGAAGAGAGTGTGGATATGCTATTGTGTGTTTTGTTTGCAGGGGGAGTCATTTTTTGCGCATGCGCTGTAGAGTCTTTTTTGCTTTTTTGGCTTTTAAAGTTCCTTCTGCTGTGTTTTTCAGTGTTTTTATGAGTGACGGTCACTCATTGGTGTATTGTGTCCAAATTTGGTGTCAGTTCGTCCAGTGGTTTTTGAATTATGTTAATCCCACAAACTAACATAACATTTTTATTTATATAATAAGAGAGCAGGAGTAGGGATGAGTGGGTGAGAAAAGGCAATGCACACTGTTTGTTGGAACAGCAAAAACAAAGGCAAATCCAAACATAAGGGAGGACAAACAAACAGTGATTCTGGGTTGTTGTGAATTTTCCAGGCTGTATGGCCATGCTCCAGAAGCACTTCCTCCTGAAGCTTCGCCCACATCCATAGCAGGCATCTATGCCATAGATGTGGGTGAAACACCAGGAGAGAATGCCTATGGAACATGGCCACACAGCCTGGAAAACTCACAGCAACCCAGGGATTCCGGCCATGAAAGCCTTCAACAAAACAGCGATTCCTTTCAGGGAGAAAGATAATTCTCCAAACAGGCATCATAACCTCCCATTCCAACATTTGTAACCAAATATTGCTTAAGAGACAGTAAAAGACATTAAATAGAAATTTAAGAAACAAATAAATAAATAATATTTTATTATTTACTTACTATCAATTCATCGGCCCATTTACTTACTATCCAAAACATCAGGACCAATAATAATAATAATAATAATAATAATAATAATAATAATAATCTTTATTTATACCCTGCCATCTCCCCAATTGGGACTCGGAGCAGCTTACATGGGGCCAAGCCCGGACAACATATTACAAGATAAAACCAGAGCATAAACAATAAACAACATCATCAAAATTACATGAAAGGAAAGAAAAAAGAAAAAAATATAAACATAGTCATAAAGTAACATTCCAATAAACACAATCACAATAAGAATGGGTGGGCCACATGTACAGGATAAAATGAGTAAAAGACTCTAATGAGATAAAAATAGGAGCAAGTTATTTGAAGGGGGCTCATAAAAACACAGAGCTGTGAAGCTAAACTTCCCACTTGGAGGGTGTGTATTCCAGTGGGAAGAGCATTGAGGGGTGCAATGGTGTCGTATTGTGCACCTACTTGCCAAAGGCGCAGGGGAAGAGCCAGGTTTTAAGGTTCTTTTTGACCAAGAACATCCCCCACCCTCAATATTGATATGCTTGAAACAAATGCAAAAGTACATTACCTTCTAAGGTGGTGATGCAGTTCCCATCTAATGTGAGTTCCTCCAGATTATGGCAGCAATCCAGTCCTTCTGTTCTGGTGAGATTATTGTTGCTAAATGATGCCCACCGTAAATTCTCTAATTTTTCTATACCACTAATTTTATAAAGATGTTGTCCGTCTAGGTCTAACACAGTTATCTGGTTGAAAGGAAGGGGAAAAAATGCTTGGTATTTATTTATTTAAGTGGACTGAGGGTACAGCTATAACATATTGAAAAACACAAAGTTAAAAAAATGTGGCATTATGCTGAATGTCCTTTGAGCAGAAACTGGCCACTCGGAGTGCCTCTGTTGTTGCTAAGAAGGTCCTCCATTGTGTATGTGGCAGGGCTCAGGTTGCATTGTAGTAGGTGGCCTGTGGTTTGCTCTTCTCCACACTTGCATGTCATGAATTCCACTTTGTGGCCCCATTTCTTAAGGTTGGCTCTGCATCTCATGGTGCCAGAGCACCGTCTGTTTAGCGCCTTCCAAGCCACCCAGTCTTCTGTGTGCCCAGAAGGGATTTTGCTGTTTATTGCTTGCATTTTTGATTTGCATTCGGTTTCTCTTTACTGTAATTGTTGTTTGGGTTTGGCCTCATGTAAGCCGCTCTGAGTCCCCATTAGGAAGATGGTGGCGGGGTATAAATAAAGTTGATTATTATTATTATTATTATTATTATTATTATTATTATTATTATTATTATGGAGTCTCTCATTTGGTATCAGCCATAGATTGAGGTTCCGGGTTTTAGCCTGCTACTTTTGGACTCTTGCTTACTGAGGTGTTCCTGTGAGTATCTCTGTAGATCTTAGAAAACCATTTCTTGATTTAAGGTGTTGGTGTGCTGGCTGATATACAGAGGATGGGTCAGAGATGTCACTGCCTTGGTCCTTGCCTTGGTACTTCCCAGCGGATGTCAGGTGGTACAATACCAACTAAACAATATAATTTCTCCAGTGGTGTGGGGTTACTTGCAACATTGCTTGGTTATTAACACTGTTATTCAGATATATTAAATGTGGAAAGCCAGTGTGATGTAATAAGCATTGAACTAGGACTCCGTGAGACCAAGGTTTGAATTCTTGCCATGGAAACCCATTGGATGACCTTGGGCAAATCACACTTGAACCTACAAACGGGCAGCCTAAGTGGAAAGCAATATCAAACGCCTTCTGAAAAAACTTTGCCAAGAAAACCTGGTTATAGCATTGCCATAGAGTTAAATCAAATTGAAAGCACATAAAAAAACAAAAAGGGAAGGAAAGATGAGTAACAGTGGTTTAAGGTAAAGGTTTCCCCCTGACATGAAGTCCAGTCATGTCTGACTCTGGGGTGTTTTGCTCATCTCCATTTCAAAGCCAAAGAGCCGGCGTTGACCGTAGACACCTCCAAGGTCATGTGGCTGGCATGACTGCATGGAGAGCAGTTACCTTACCACCAGAGTGGTACCTATTGATCTACTCACATTTGCATGTTTTCAAACTGCTAGGTTGGCAGAAGCTGGGGCTAACAGTGGATGCTCACCCCGCTCCCCAGATTCGAACCTGCGATCTTTTGGTAAACAAGCTCAGCAGCTCAGCATTTTAACCCACTGTGCCACCGGGGGCTCCAACAGTGGTTTGCTTCCTGCTAATAAAAATGTCTGGAAGGGCTTCCCATCTGTAACCTGGACAGCCAAATGCAATCCACCAATGACACCTGGAAACCCAACAAAAGCTCAAAACTCCTCCTGCCTTTGGGGAAAAGGAATAGTCACTTTTATGCTGGGACTGCCAGAACAAAGGGGAGATAAGAGGATGGTAGGCTGTGCATGATGATGAGGAAGTGATGGGCAAATAATGGTACAGGTCTGGTTTAAAGCATGCTGAGACTGCGAACCAATGTGCAGTCACCCAGATTGATAGTTATTGCTTGCAAATTTCACAACGCATGTGCTTTGGCATTCAGAAGGTCAAAGGATATGTTTCTGTCATCTCTATTTAAAAGGATTAGATAGCACTGAATGGGAAAGACATGCCTAAACCATCGAATAATTGCTAGTAAATCAGATAAGACATCGGCTGTGGGAATTGTGACCCCTGCTGAACTATAGGCTGAGTTTCCCTTATCCAGAAATCCATAATAATAATAATAATAATAATAATAATAATAATAATAATGGAAGTTTTTGCTACCAACTGCTCAAGTCCATCTTTGGGGAAAGGGGGCTGGTCACACATTCAGAACACACTGAGTTTTCCCTCAAGGATCCCTGACAGGGGAACTAAAAAAAGGAGTGACTACACTGATACAAGGTCCTACAAAAAAACAGATGCCCCAGATGCTTCTGTGCTTGCCTTCTACTCATCCAATTGTGGCATGCACTGGGGCAGACATCTACAAATGGTTGTGAGGGGTTGCGTAGAGTGACCTTATTAGCTGCCGTATTTCCATTTTTAAGTGTAACATAGAATAATAATAATAATAATAATAATAATAATAATAATAAGGTTGCTGTGAGTTTTCATGGCTGTATGGCCATATTCCAGAAGCATTCTCTTCTGATGTTTTACTTGCATCTATGACAGGCATCCTCAGAGGTTGTGAGGCCTGTTGGAAACTAGGAAAATGGGATTTATATATCTGTGGAATGTCCAGGGTGGGAGAAAGAACTGTTGTCTGAGGTAGGTGTGAATGCTGCAATTCGCCAGCTTGATTTGCATTTAATGGCCTAGCAGTTTCAAGGTCTGGCTTCTTACTGCCTGGGGGAATCCTTTGTTGGGAGATGACTACCTGGCCCTGATAGTTTCTTGTCTGGAATTCCCCTGTTTTTGAGTATTGTTCTTTATTTACTGTTAGGATTTTGGAGTTTTTAAATTCTGGTAGCCAGATTTTGTTCATTTTCATGGTTTCCTCCTTTCTGTTGAAATTGTCCACATGGTTGTGGATTTCAATGGCTTCTGGAACTCTCTGCCTCAGAGTGTGGTGGAGGCTCCTTCTTTGGAAGCTTTTAAACAGAGGCTGGATGGCCATCTGTCAGGGGTGCTTTGAATGCAATTTCCTGCTTCTTGGCAGAGGGTTGGACTGGATGGCCCATGAGGTCTCTTCCAACTCTTTGATTCTATGATTCTATGATTCTGTGTAGTCTGACATGATAGTTGTTAGAGTGGTCCAGCATTTCTGTGTTCTCGAATAATATGGCCAATAATATGGCCCAGTGATTCAGACCATGAAAGCCTTCGACAATACATAATAATAATAACAACAACAACAACAATAATACTTTTTAAATATCCTGCCCTATTTCCCTGTGAGGACTTGGGGCGGTTATAGCACTGTAATGCTAATTTCTATTTCTTTAGCTGCTTTCCATATTTTTCTAATATTTATTTCTTTCTTTATTTAAAACTTTTATATCCCGATCCTCTCAACCTCTGTAGAGGGACTATTTTAAAATTGACCCTTTTTACGCAAAAAGCACTGGCCATCCACGAGAAGATGGAAGCAGAGAGAGGTGACCTTGCTGCCATCAACAAAATTCAAACTTAAAAACTTAATATAGACATGCCACTTGTTTTACCTACTCGCGCCCCTGCCCAAACCCTACTTTAAGGAATTAATCCATTTTTAATCTTTATTTTTTATCTTGTAGTTGCACAATCATTTAGGAGTGGGTTGACAGGCCAGTAGGCCGGGATGCCTTGTATTTATATATGGTTTTACTATATGTATGGGCAAGTGTGTATGTTTTGCTTTTTTTGATATGGTCAAAATTGACTAATAAATAAAGAATTGTTGTTGTTGTTAACTCAGACTGGCTTACAGCAAGGATTCAATGCTAATAGTACAATCTAAAAACATCATATAGTAATGAGTTAAAATACATATTGATTAAAATTACAAATAAGCCAAATCGCCAAGATAAAATCATGTCCAACTCAGTCCGTATGTGTGGTCGATAATTTTGTTCTGTAGCCGGTTTCAACCATTACTCTGGGAATGCTTCCTTCCATAGCCAGGATTTCACCAGCCTCCTGAAGGACAGGAGAGAGGGGGCAGATCTGATGTCAATCGGGAGAGAGTTCCATAGCTGAGGGGCCACCACAGAAAAGGCCCTGTCTCTCGTTCCCGCCAGACGTGATTGCGAAAGTGGCGGGACTGAGAGCAGGGCCCCACCAGAAGATCTTAATTGTCTTGATGGTTCATAGGGGAGAATACATTCGGACAGGTAAACTGAGCAAAATAATACTGGCAAAATAATTCTCCTCCCCAGGATTTCCATTTTGAAGAGGTGGAAATCAATAAGAGAGAGAGGGACTAGCAAAAGACTATCCAGTACATAACTGACAGGCTATGGATCTTTATCCATCTCTGAAGACTTTTAATAAATCACAAAGAGCTGCCTTTTTCTTCTGTCTCTTGCTGTGGGGAAGCTTTGTTTTTCCAGAAATATGTCCTACCTCAATAGGAATCACCTTTGGCATCGATGTCACACAGCATAACACCGACACCATTGGCTGAAACGTTTGCTCCTCTTGGCAGTTTCTGCAAATGAGCTCTCCCTTAATGTAGGAAGATCAGAACGCTATGCTCCTCTGTGCAAACGTGTCTTCCTCTAGCAATGCTATGCACCGCAAAACAAATCAAACTGACAGAGGGGCTTTTAACCTTTTCTTCTTGGCAGATTAACATGATTCAGGATGATGGGTCACAACACCACAGATCATGACAGCGTGGGGTGCCTGAGGATCTCCCAATTGCCTTGTTCAATGGGTTTATCTGATGGAATGCAGGAGAAATCGTGGCTGGTCATCATTCCTGATGATGGCAAGGAATAATTTCCAAGCGTATGACACCGAAATGAGCTGGACTAGCATTATTGTTTTCAAAATGGCATCCCATTTTTAGGATCAAGGGACAATGGATCATACAGAGTGTAAGGAAAATACAGTGCACCCTTCATATTTTCACTGTTTCACTTTTGCAGATTCCATTATAAATGGATTTGAAGAATATGTTCACTACTGGAAGTTGACTACAGAGTTGAGCTGGAGAACCTGGAGAACAACTCTCTTATGAGAAAGTTCTTTTCTGTTCAGTTATCCACTTTCGCAGGGGTCCTGTTTTCCAAACTCTACAAAGGTAGAGGGCTTATTCTATTTCACAACCTCAGAGCACTCATTCTGAAGTCAAATGATGTTGACTGAACTATCAAAGACTATCACTGAAAAGTTTTGCTAATATTTTTAGCATTTTCCATTTTTATTAAACAGTTTCTATGTAATTTATAATACTGTGTTTTATGAATTTCACAATTTGTATTCACGTATTAGTTTTGCAAACTTTTTTTTTGTCGTGTCAGGAGCAACTTGAGAAACTGTAAGTTGCTTCTGGTGTGAGAGAATTGGCCGTCTGCAAGGATGTTGCCCAGGGACGCCCGGATAATTTGATGTTTTTATCATCCTTGTGGGAGGCTTCTCTCATGTCCCTGCACGAGGAGCTGGAGTTGATAGAGGGAGCTCATCCGCCTCTCCCCGGATTCAAGCCTGCGACCTGTCGGTCTTCAGTCCTGCCGGCACAGGGGTTTAACCCACTGCACCACCGGGGGCTACTTTTGCAAACTTACCCCCTTGATATTATGTTTACATTTTTTAAACTTCTTCAATACAGAAGCCAGGACAGCTTATTCTTTAACATTTTATCTCGTGCATTTGGCCCGCCCTTTCTGTTTGATTTTATTAATTTATTTTGCACTGTTTATTTTATTTTATTTTGTTACTTTATGTATTTTGTTGTGATGTAATTTTTCTGTTGTTTTGTGTCTAACTTTGCTGTATTATTTTTGGGCTTGGCCTCATGTTAGCCGCCCCGAGTCCCCTTTGATGATAATAATAATAATAATAATAATAATAATAATAATAATAATAATAATGCGGACATGTTCTAGAGGCATTCTCTCCTGACGTTTCATCTGCATCTATGGCAAGCATCCTCAGAGGTAGTGAGGTCTGTTGGAACTAGGAAAAAGGGTTTATATAACTGTGGGACAAAGGACTCTTGTCTGCTGGAGCTAGGTGTGAATATTTCAACTGACCACCTTGATTAGCATATGATGGCCTGGCAGTGCCTGGGGCAATCTTTTGTTGAAAGGTGATTAGATGTCCTTGATTGTTTCCTCTCTGTTGTTTTGCTCTTGTGGCTTGTTCTCAGTCTTGCAGCTCTTCTGATGTCTGAGGTGGACTATCCATTGGCCTGTAGAGCCCAGTTTAGGTGGTGAAATCCACAAGCATGTAGACAATTTCAACAGAAAGGAGAAAAACATGAAAATGAACAAAACCTGGCTACCAGTATTAAAAAAACTCTAAAATTGTGGGAGTTGAAGTCCAAAACACCTGGAGAGCTGAAGTTTACCCATGCCTCGTATAGGGCTTTGTAGGTAATAACTTGAGCCCGGAAAATTGTCGGAAGCCAGTAAAGCTGCTTTAATAGGGGCATAGTATGTTCCCTATAGCTAGCTCCAGTTATTAATTTGGCAGCTGACTTTTGCACTAACTGCAATTTCCGAACAGTCTTCAAAGGCAGCCCCACATAGAGTGCATTACAATAGTCCATTCTAGATGTAACTAAGTTTTGGCCTTCAACTCCAAGAAATCCTAACATCTGGTAAACTGGTTGGGATTTCTGGGAGTTGTAGGCCAAAACACCATACGTTGAGAGCCACTGCTCTGAATGAAACTCAAAAATAAAACTTTCTAATTTAATAACAAGTCCCTCTTCACCTTAGAAAACCAGTTGTTCTCAAACAGGTCCACTCTGTTCTTGCTAATCTGGCTCAAGATTTTGGCATAAGGAAGGATGCTGAGCACATGCAGCTTTTCTTGGTCTGTCCGTGAATGCTCCACCAGAGACTCCTAGAAAAAGGAAACCAGAAGATCCAAGGGCTCAAAACATTGCAATCGATGTCATGCATACCTTGTACAGTCAAATTCTTCATGTAGGTCACATGCCTGGGAAGACAGGAAACCATTTCTTTTCCTCATCTGAACAGGGCCTAATAAGTTGAGATGACTCTTGAGCATAATTGATTTTCAGTAAAGGTCCCCTGATAAACTATAAAACCAAAATGTTCCCTGGCTGGCCATTAAATAGTAACTTGGCTAATTAATCTTTCTCATACATGATGTTTAAAGATGTAAGCAATGTTGCTGGAGGATAGACAGCATTATAAATGATGAGATGCAGGTCAATTATTTGAAAGAATACTGACAAAGACAAGTAGGACGTGGAACTACTACTACTCAAGTTGTCATTCAGAGCACAAGAAGAAGAGGCTATAAAGGAGAAAGCCTTCATCATAATCACTATAAATTATTATTATCAATATTATAGAAGCAACATCAGTAGCAGTGGAAGTAACAGTGATAGGCACAACAGTAGATTTCAGGTACACAGGTAAAACGATTGTCACAGGAAGCAAAACAAAACAAACCAGACCAAACCTGAGTGATTTTTGACTTCGCTACAAACTGAGCTGCGGCTGCTGCCTCCTCTTCTGTAATCAGAACTCCATCCAGGTGTGTTAGAGCCTTCAGCTGGCCAATCACGCTCAACCGCACGGAGGCTGGCTTGAGGAGAAGACAAAGCAAAAACCGAATGGGATGTTGGGAAATGCCAAAAGCTTACCTTTACAGATTACAAATCCCAGTATCCCCATGCCTCATGGAACCAAGGCATGCTAGTTGGGAATTTTTGAAATTTTAGGTTTAAAAAGGTCATTCAGGTTTTGGCAAACTCTCTTCCAACACTACCATTTTATCCCTTTCGTTGTTTGCCTCTACTATGAAGCTAAAGTGATTTAACTTGCCAAATAATGGGGGGAAATGAACATATGTTGAACATTCAGCTAGTACAGCCTCAGCTTGAAGGAAAAGAACATCCTTCTCCAAGAAACGACATTTTCTTGGTCATGAGAAGTCAAGCACCATATTTCTTCTCCATCCTTTTCTTTCTTCTACCTTATTCGGTGGCTCTAAAGTGTCTTTACATTCCTTTGTTAGCATATATGCAACATGTTACTCATGAGAAGGCTTAGAGGTCTTAGTATCAACAAGCTGGAATGTGTCCAGAGGAGGGTGACTAAAATGATCAAAGGTCTGGAGAACAAGCCCTATGAGGAGCAGCTTCAAGAGCTGGGCATGTTTAGCCTGCAGAAGAGAAGGCTGAGAGGAGACATGATGAGGGCCATGGATCAAGATGTGAGGAACTCTCTGCCCCGGAGTGTGACAGAAACTCCTTCTTTGGAGGCTTTTAAACAGATGTTGGATGGCCACCTTCGAGGGTGCTTTGAATGTGATTTTCCTGCTTCTTGGCAAGGGGTTGGACTTGATGGCCCATGAGGTCTTTTCCAATTCTATGATTCTATGGTGAAGGGGATAATTTTGGACAGAAGCATAGTCCATTTCAATATAGCTATTGAGAAGGCCAAACACAGATTTAAAAAAAAAAGATTTTTAATAAATTATCTGTTTGTGTTTTGTGTATGTGTTTTTGACTGCGCTGTGACCTGCCTCAAGCCACAGAGAGAGGCAGGTAAGAAATAAATAAATAAATAAAAATAATAATGATTGATATTTAACAATTTGATTGGGTTTAGCTCAATGTTGTACTTTAAATTACTGTGGGTCCTGTAATCAGTAGCAGTGTGACATTTAATAATGGTTAATTCTCACTTATCAAAAAACCAGAGACCTGAAATGCACCAAAAAAGAAACTTTTGTCACCAAAAGCCCGATTCTGCCTTCAAAACGATGGGTTTGGAACTCCAGCTCAAGGCAGTAGCAGGAAGTTGCAGGAGAGACCAAAGAGAGAAACACAAGGGTCTGTGCTATGATAAGAGGCCTGGATTTCAGCCATTTCACAAATCCTCAATCTCTCTCTCTCTCTCTCTCTCCTCATATCTCTTTGTTTGCTACTTGTGTTATGCATATGATGTGAGGCCACACAGAAATGCTGGACCACTTGAATAACCACCATGTCAGACTACACAGAGAAGTCACTGAAATCCACAAGCATGTGGATAATTTCAACAGAAATCAAGGTGGTCAGTTGAAACATTCACACCTAGCTCCAACAGACAGGAGTTCTTTGTCCCACCCTGGTCATTACACAGATATATAAACATATTTTCCTAGTTCCAACAGACCTCACTACCTCTGAGGATAATTGCCATAGATGCAGGTGAAACGTCAGGAGAGAATGCCTCTAGGTCATGGCCATATAGCCCGAAAAAACTTACAGCAACCTAAGCTATTTGTATTCCAAGTTTTTTAAATTAAAAATCTCACATTCAGAACACTTCTGGTGATGAGCATTTTAGAAAGGGAGGATGGACATCTGAACTCAAACCTTCAAAATCAGAAGTGGAAATGTGATGCAAGCAGTGGTACAGCAGGTAGTTCTGCAAGTAACTGTGGTGTAATGAAGTGATGGCAGTAATCATGAATTGATTCAGTAGTCTCTCAGCACCCTGACCTGAAAACTAACACCACAGTTTTATTTTAAAATGATCTTCTTTTGGTTATATGTTCAGAGAGACAAGTACCTTATGCCATGGGTTATGCCTGATAGCCAAACTGAGGACTGCTGGTGTATGTTTCCGCAAGACACTGATTTCTTCCCCTGCTCTTTTCAGCTGGTTCCAGCTCAAGTCCAAATGCTTCAACTTGTTCAGGCCCCGAATGCCTTCAAGGGTGATGACATGGTTGTGACTGGCATCAAAATATTCCAGGTTTGGCTGCAATGCAGTATCTAATGTGAGAATCATGGCGAAGGCACTATCAACAAAGAAGAACACCTCACAAAAAGGATTATTTTTAAAGCCATGCCAACAGTTGGAAATGAATATTTGGATTGGAATAATGTGTTAGGAGTAGAAAAAAATATGCAAAAAGGGATGAGGAATTTGCTAAGGACAAGGGAAAATAAGGCTACTTGCTAGCATTACTACAGTGATTATTATAATACTATAATTATGGTATTTGTATCCCATTTTCTTCCCAAAATTGGAACTCAAGGTAGCTTACAGTTTAAAAGAGCAATATAGTTAAAAACACACAAAAAGTGAATATTAAAATAGAGTTAATGACAATATTAGACATTTTTAATTTTTAGTTAAAATCATATGCAACTGAGACAATTAAAAAACTATTTAAACAGTGGAGTTTAATAATAATAAATAATAAACTTTATCTATATTCCGCCCTATCTCCCTGAGAGGATTCAGGGAGGAGTTTAAAACTCAACATCATCCTCAAGCCTCTTTTAAAACTTTCTTTATTAAAAGCTTGCTGGAAGACAACAAGAAAAGGGCCATTCTGCTCCCAGGAAGAAAGTTACCAAGTCTAGGGGCAGCTGCTGAAAAGGCCATCTCTCATGTCCCTATCAATTGTAGCATTTTGCTTCACTTCATTGCAATCCTCTCCCCTTTTGTTTGTTATCTATGAATGGGGGAAAACATTTGAACACGTCATTATGTCTCTTTCCCATGAGCATTCTCCCCTGAAAGTGCAGAACAAAAGACACTTTTCACTTACCAAGTGATAAACATCATCTAAGCAAGTGAACTCATTAAAACTGACAACAAGCTTGCGAAGTCCAGTTAGCTTGGAGATGTCTCGGAGTTTGCTCAGCCTATTCCCGTGCAGGTCCAGAACCTATATTTAAAAAGAAGCAGAGTTTGTTTATGCATTCATAATATTTATGACACAAAGCCTAAAGTCTGGATGGCTAAAGTCTGGATGACCATCTGTCAGGAGTGCTTTGAATAGTTGCAATATGTAAAGCCACCTTAGCGTAGAGAAAGGCAGGATACAGATAAAGTAAATAAACAAAGTCTTTCTGCATAGCAGAATGAGGATGGACTGGATGGCCTCTGGAGTCTCTTCCAAGCCTAGGATTCTATGATAGAGTTTTGACAAGAGTGCTACTTTGCCCATGTTTTAATGTATTTTAATGGGTATGCTTTTTTTAAAACATTTAATTTAATTATGTTGGTAATTAAATTACATTTAAAGTTGTGTGTGTCTTCAACAATGTCAACTTTGATTTTGATCAATGTTCTAAGTCATTGTGAGTTTTAAGCTGGGTAAAGGAAGACTTTATAAGAAAAATTATTGCTGATATTTATTAATTTATTATTTATTTATTTTCAGTATTTATATTCCACCCTACTAACTCCGAAGAGGACTCAGGGTGGATCATAGAACATATACACGGCAAACATTCAATGCTGTTAAACAGACAGGACAGACAACAGATAGAGGTATATGTCGACATTTTCCCAACTTCAGCGTCCTGGAGGCTGTGCTCAATTCTGGCCACAGGGGGTGCTGTCGCTCCATCCTCTATGACGAAGAGCCTGTGATCACAGACTTTCTTTTTTAAAATAATTTTTATTAAGGGTTTTAAGGAGTACATCTGTATGTTGATTAATCATCAGCATAACAAATAATAAAAAGATAGAAGGATATCCAGGGATGAGGTAGAGGGGAAAAGGGGGGGGGGAGGGGAGGGAAGAAAAATAAATAAATATTTTTTAAAATTAAATTATTTTATCACAGACTTTCCTCCTATCTTTCATCACTGGCATTTTCTGATACTTCGTTTTTTATGGTCCCGTAAAATACCTTCCTGCTTAAGTGGTACCTAATTTTTCTACTCACAGCACAGCTGTTTTCGAACTGCTTAGATGGACAATAAGCTGGGCTGAAGGTTGGGTGTTCACCCTGACTCAGGCTTCGAACTGCCAACCTTTCAATTGGTGTGATCTCTTGCTGCTGGTAATTAACCAGGCGTATAAGAGCCCAGCCCATAGGACATCATAGGATATTGAATGTTATCCTATGAGCACATCTCTGTCTCAATAGATGAAACACTTCAGACAGTGCATCTCAAAACCCTTTACAGATAATTTGAACAACCACATGTCCTTAACTCACAAATTCATTATGTCAGTGTTCCACCACTCTCTCCAGACACAAGATTTGGGCCACCAGAGCCTTGCCAGCAAATGTCTACCAACTCATGTAAGGACTTGGGTCAACTGCCTGTCCTGCACAGCAACTCTTTAAAAAAGTTTCTCAGGTATACAAATTCCACAGAGAATGCAGAAAGAACAGTTGCAGTGAGCCTCTCTACTGCTTCTTCAAGCCATGAAGAGAATTAACTCATTTGAAACATGGAGAAGAATTCAATGGCTAACATAGACAGATAAAAAGACAAATTAATGGGTCTTAAAACAAAACAAGACTGAACTTTGACCAGAAGCCAAAATGACTACAATGGGATTATTCTATTTTGTCATGAGATGTTATAACGTAGTGGCAAAGACAAAAATGTTTCGCAAAATAGAAGACAAAAGGAAAAGAAGAAAGCCATAGTACTCTTAAATTGATTTTTAATCAAGGAAGCCACAGCCCCGAGACTGCAAAATGTGAGTAAGGCTGTTAATATTAGGACGCTCATTAATTGGAAGCTGGCTGAGTGGCACCTGACAAGGCTATTATTGGGCATTCAAGTCTGCATCAGTTGTGGTAGACACAAAGGCAGATTTACTTAAACTAACTGTATCTGACCCAAATTTTAAAGAAAGACCATTAGCACTTTGTACTTTTACAGCACTGGTAAAGAGATTTATAATTTAGTCAAAGGGGAGTTTGACATCTTGCAGAGAGACACAACAAGCATGAGATTGGAAGAATAAATCCATCATTATTTTATTTCCTCTGCTGGGAGATAAGGACATTTAATCCTTAGTTCTTCCTCTCACCTTGGAAGACGCAGTTAGAAAAGCCAAAGTGGGGCGTGGATAATGGTGATGAACCCTCCTACCTCATTCCCATGGATCCTTAAACATCCTTAAACATGTTTTTATTACATTCTCAGCCAAATACTTTGAACCTCAGTTGCAAGAAAAATATGCACAGGGACAATAGTTTAAGAGGTGAAAAAGTGGGTCACAATGAGTGTTGCCAGGTTTCCAAAACAGCAAGAAAGGACAGTCAAAATTCATGATATGCAAGGCTGACCATTACAGAGGAGCTAGGAATATATATGTGCTTTGCCTAAAAATCAAACAGAAATCCTGCTTTTAGTGACCCTCCCCAGAAATAAACAGCAGAATAACTAATTATTTATTTATTTAGACCATTTCCACCCCGCCCTTCTCACCCCCGAGGGGGGACTCAAGGCGGCTAATACAGGCAACAACTCAATGCCAACAGTATCAAAACAACAATATAAAACAGCAATATAAAATCCATTACATAACGATTAAGCAGTGATATTAATTAAAATTACATAACCACATAGAACAGATCACAGAATCACCGGTCATAAAGCCATTTCCAATTTTCAAACAATCCTATTGTCTGAGTTCAGTGCCTAAAGTGCTGTTGTGCCCACTAGCCAAAGGCCTGGCTCCAAAACCACGTCTTTAGTTTTTTCCTAAAAGTAAGGAGGGAGGACGCCGATCTAATCTCGCTGGGGAGCGAATTCCACAAGCGGGGGGTCACCACCGAGAAGGCCCTGTCCCTTGTCCCCACCAGATGCATTTGAGAAGCTGGTGGGACCAAGAGCAGGGCCTCCCCAGTAGATCTTAAATTACGAGGTGGAACGTAGAGAGATAGATACGTTCGAATAAGTAAGCTGGGCCGGAGCCGAATTATTATTAGCAGCCACATGACTCAGCACCAGTAGCCCAAAGTGATAAAAAGAACAGAAACACACAGACCGATGTTATCTCTTCCATAGGAGGCTTTTCTTTGTAGTAAAATAATATGGTTGCACTATTTACAGTAACAAGGTATCCATAACACAAATAAAGTTCTTTATACTTCCTTCTTTTCTTCCACACTGGGCTTTTTTCTTATGCAGATAAACAGCTTCTAGCTTCACTCTCACACCAAACTTACATAGGAGCTTCACACAGTAGCTTTACACACAAGGCTTTCAACCTGGGACTTGTTTCACAGAAGCTTCTCACACCAGGCCTTCCCACACTCTGAGGCCTTCTCACAGACTAAGGCCTACCTCACACAGAGGCTTCTCTCAGACTAAGGCCTACCTCACACAGAGGGTTCTCTCGCAGACTAAGACTTACCTCACACTCTGAGGCCTTCTCTCACAGACTAAGGCCTACCTCACACTCTGACTGAGAACTTTCTCCCACTGAGGTTTACACCTCAGACTGATGGGTACTAAGCTACAGGCACACCTGCTGATATAGAACTTGTTTTCTACTTCCCTGGAGACTAGGACACGAAACAATGGCTTCAAACCACAAGAAAGGAGATTCCATCTGAACATGAGGAAGAACTTCCGGACTGTGAGAGCCATTCAGCAGTGGAACTCTCTGCCCCGGAGTGTGGTGGAGGCTCCTTCTTTGGAAGCTTTTAAACAGAGGCTGGGTGGCCATCTGTCAGGGGTGATTTGAATGCAATATTCCTGCTTCTTGGCAGAATGGGGTTGGACTGGATGGCCCATGAGGTCTCTTCCAACTCTTTGATTCTATGATTCTAACTGTAGCTTTTGCTGAGTCATTGCATCCATTTAACCCTTTCAGTGCTTGACTGACATTTTTATAATTAAAAACACCTAGTTAATTTTTTAATATTTCTGACAAACCAAGCCTGTGTTTGTTTTAAATCAACACATTACCCATATTCATAACTTACATGATGCACACGTTTGTCTTTGTTGAGGGAACCTCATGCAAACATGCGGGCCCAATTTAAGGTGCTGGTGCTATCCTACAAAGCCCTAAACGGTTCCGGCCCAAAATACCTTTCGGACCGCATCTCGGCCTATGAGCCCACGAGGGCCTTAAGATCGTCTGGGGAGGCCCTTCTCTCGATCCCGCCTGCCTCACAGGCACGTCTGGCGGGGACGAGAGAAAGGGCCTTCTCGGTGGTGGCCCCCCGGCTGTGGAACGACCTCCCTGCTGACATCAGACAGGCGCCCTCCCTTCTGTCCTTCCGTAAGAGCCTGAAGACCTGGCTATTTGAGAAGGCATTCAACTGAGCGCTACGGCAACTGGTAATTGACAACTGGAACGGAATACGGATTACGATATTGGTTATGATTCTATGATGTGACGGAGCGGATTATTTAGTGTAACTAGATTATAGTGTATTATTGTTGTATTGATTCCCTGTTTTGCCCTTTTTGTAAACTGTTTTTATATGTTGTGCACCGCCGCGAGTCGCCCTAGGGCTGAGAGCGGCGGTCAATAAATGCAGTAAATAAATAAATAATAAATAAATTCTTTGTTGGCATTTATTTTGGTTTATAATCCTTATCATAGCATTCTGTTTTCAGATCACATATTCCACTTAACTGCTATGGCAACATAGAATCATAGAGTTGGAAGAGACCTCATGGACCATCCAGTCCAGCCCCATTCTACCAAGAAACAGGAAAATTGCTTTCAAAGCACCCCCGACAGATGGCCATCCAGCCTCTGTTTAAAAGCTTCCAAAGAAGGAGCCTCCACCACACTCCGGGGCAGAGAGTTCCACTGCTGAAACGGCTCTCACAGTCAGGAAGTTCTTCCTCATGTTCAGACGGAATCTCCTTTCGTGTAGTTTGAAGCCATTTTCGCGTCCTAGTCTCCAGGGAAGCAGAAAACAAGCTTGCTCCCTCCTCCCTGTGCTTCCTCTCACATATTTATACATGGCTATCATGTCTCCTCTCAGCCTTTTCTTCTTCAGGCTAAACATGCCCAGCTCTTTAAGCTGCTCCTCATAGGGCTTGTTCTCCAGACCCTTGATCATTTTAGTCGCCCTCCTCTGGACACATTCTAGCTTGTGGAATTCTGGAGGTCAAACAGCTCTTTGGCTGAGAATTACTCGATGTCATGGGCAGGTTTACTCCTTAACCAAGACCGCATGCATTTTAACACCAAATATTGTCATTTGGAAATAACCCCTCTGTTCCCTGCTTCTCTTCAATCTGATCCCTCACCTTCTTCTCATCTGACAATTTCTGACCTGCATTGACTGGGAGAAGGGCACGGTAATGTGCAAGGTAAAAAAAAAAAAAGGGGGGGGGAAATCCAGTTCTCCAAACCCGAATACACTCCAAGTATGCAGCACTGCTTTTCCTTTTATCATCATCAGACTGATGAGAAACTCCTCACTTACCGTTATCTGACTGCAAATATTGGCCTTTGCAACAGCTAGCATAGTTTTTTCATCCAAGCAAACTATTTTGGGCCTGGGCTTAATGACAGGCTCCATGCTTAAAACCTCCTCATCGCGCTGCAGATCTCGGGAGAGCACAAAGCCTGCTCCATGTTTCCTTCCTTCTTCCCCAATCACATTGTTGAGTGAAGAGAACAGGGCTTCTACTTTGACCTACACAAAAGACCAGGGATTAATAAAAAGTGTGTTAAAACAGAAATTTGGGGACTGGAGATAGAATAATAGACTCCTAGAGTTGGAAGAGACCTCATGGGCCATCCAGTCCAACCCCATTCTGCCAAGAAGCAGGAAAGTCGCATTCATAAAAGATAGAAAGAATGCAACACGCGATTGCATCAGCATTCTCGAGATTCAGCCTTGTTTTGACTTTTCTTTATAAAAATAGTGTAGGCCAATGGTCCCCAACCTGGAGGTCCATCTTGTTAAACCAAAACTCCCTAAAGCCCTTATCACTGGCCACGCTGGTTGGAGATTCTCAGAGCTGAAATCTCACTACAACATCAAGGAAAGCTAGATTAGGGTATATCCACCAAAACTGCATTTTGTATTCAATTATGCTTATGTTGGTAATATGAAGGAACAAATCTAAGACAATGTGTCATTGAAGGCTTTCATGGCCGGAATCGCTGAGTTGGTGTGAGTTTTCCTGGCTGTATGGCCATGAAGCATTCTCTCCTGACATTTCACCCACATCTATGGCAGGTATCCTCAGAGGTTGTGATGTCTGTTAGAAACTAGGCAAGTGGGATATATATATCTGTGGAATGTCCAGAGTGGAAAAAAGAACTCATCTGCTTGAAGCAAGTGTGAATGTCACAATTGGTCACCTTGATCAGCACTGAATAGCCTTGCAGCTTCCTGCCTGAGGAAATCCTTTGTTGGGAAGTGTTAGCTGGCTCTGAATGTTGACAGGAAACCATCAGGACCACTTAACACCTCCCTACAAAGGATTTCTCCTGGCAGGAAGCAGCCAGGCTTTGAAGCTGCAAGGCTATTCAATGGGGTTAGCTGGCCCTGATTGTTTCTTGTCTGGAATTCCTTTGCTTTTTGAGTGTTGCTCTTACTTTACTGTCCTGATTTTAGAGTTTTTAAAATACTGGTACCCAGATTTTGTTCATTTTCATGGTTTCCTCCTTTCTGATGAAATTGTCCACATGCTTATGGATTTCAATGGCTTCTCTGTGTAGTCTGACATGGTGGTCCAGCATTTGTGGGTGAAACGTCAGGATAGAATCGTTCTGGAACATGGCCATACAACCTGGAAAACTCACAGCATTTCAAATTTAAGACAGTGGCTTTCTCTCCTATTTAGTATTTTCCACTCTCCCAAGATATCTATTAAATTTGGCCCGGCCATTGGTTTTTAACATGTTGTATGTTATTGTTGATTGCTTATTGCTTATTTTTGTTTATTTATTATTTATTTATTTATTTTATATGATTTATTTGAATTGTATTGTATTAACTGTTTTATTTAATGTTTTGTTTATTGATGTATTGTGGGCTTGGCCTCATGTAAGCCGCACCGAGTCCCTTGGGGAGATGGTAGCGGGGTACAAATAAAGTATTATTATTATTATTATTATTATTATTATTTTATGACACCATCAGAGAGGGGTACAACTGAAAGAATAAAATCTTCAGTGTCTCAGCAGAAATTAATTACTCTTTATAAAAAATATCTTACAAGTATGATATCAATATACGTACAATCCTACAAGTCTATGCTGCCACTACTATCCCATTACAATCATGCTCTATATCACTACAAGTCTGTGAGGTTATTTTCTTGTGGCCTTTTTTTTTAGTAGTAACCGATTACAGCATTGGTATTGTCTGTTACGGGAGGGAATCCATGGGGGTGACACTGTGAGTTACCACAGTGGGTGCCACTGACCATGCCAGACCACCATGCCACAACTGTAAGATTGACGCCAACATCATAGCAACCTTACAAGTGAAGTTATCTTTAGTACTATCAAAAAATAAACATCTACATGAGCTATAAGCATTGAACACACTGTGAGCAAACAGGAATCCCATACCAATGTGATGTACTCAAACTCAACGATGTACTCTGGCAAAACCAGCTCGTGATCAAACAGAAACCACTCACACTGTCGGAGGCTGCAGTCACAGTCCCTGAACTCCGCGGAAGAGCAAATCTCTGAAACCACAGAAAACGACAAGAATGTTGATGCATCTCTGGCAGATTGTTATTATTATTATTATTATTATTATTATTATTATTATTATTATTATTGATATCCTGCTTTTTCTTGCCACAAGGATACTCAAAGTGGATAACAATAAAAGCATTGCAATACAATTTAAATATACAATTTTTTTTTGTCGTGTCAGGAGCAAGTCGCTTCTGGTGTGAGAGAATTGGCCGTCTGCAAGGACGTTGCCCAGGGGACACCTGGATGATTTGATGTTTTTATCATCCTTCTGGGAGGCTTCTCTCATGTCCCCGCATGAGGAGCTGGAGCTGATAGAGGGAGCTCATCCGCCTCTCCCCCCATTCGAACCTGCGACCTTCAGTCCTGCCGGCACAGGGGTTTAACCCACTGCGCCACCGGGGGCTCCAATATACAAATGTTAACACAGTATTAAATATAATTATCATATATACTTGACTATAAGCCGAGTTTTTCATCCCTTTTTAAAGGCTGAAATAGCCCCCCATGGCTTATACTCGAGTCAAAGTTATTTATTATTTTACTTTATTATTATTATTGTTATTATTATTATTACATTTCTTATTTTACTCTATTATTTTTATTACATTTCTTATTTTCCTCTATTTATTATTATTATTAAATTTATTATTTTACTCTATTATTATTACACTGATATTATTCTACTCTATTATTACTATTACATTTATCATTTTACTCTATTTATTATTATATTTATTATTTTACTCTATTATTGTTATTACTCTTATTACATTTCTTTTACATTTATTATTTTACTTTATTTATTTATTATTATATTTATTATTTTACTCTATTATTACATTTCAATTATTTTATTCTATTATTATTATGACATTATTTTACTCATTACATTTCTTTTACATTTATTATTTTACTTTATTATTATTATTATATTTATTATTTTAGTCTATTATTACTATTATTACATTTCCATTATTTTACTCTATTCTTATTATTTTAATTACATTCCTTATTTTACTCTCATTATTATTGGAGGGATAGGTAAGCACATTTACATTGAAGAACTTTAGAAAAATGGTTTAATCAGAGATGGACAATCTTATCTTAAATTACAGTTTTATGTAAATATTCACAAACATTTAACCTACTGATGCCTCAATTAATGTAATTTTATTGGCATCTATTTTTATTTTGCAATTTACCAGTAGCTTCTGCATTTCCCACCTTCGAATTATACTCGAGTCAATATGTTTCCCCAGTTTTTGTGGTATTTAGGTCGGCTTATATTCGAGTATATATGACCGTATTAAAATCATTCAGATTAAATCCATAAAACATATAAAATTATGTTTTTATGTAGGCAATTTCATTTAGAAAAAGGGTGGGTGGATTTCACATTAGCTAGATCTATTATCAATGTCCTTCTCCCTTTTTTTACTACAACCTTGAGGTCCATCAGGTGAAAAATGGTGCCTTAATGGGGTGGGAGAGGAAGCTATAGCGTTCAGAAGCACTGAATCTCTAAGCACTTGTTCAGCCTAGCAATTTATCTAAACCTTTCAATCACGTCTATCTCTTGTCCCATCAACTGCTCCCCCAAACAACCTAGGATTCACCCTGGTATAGAAATGAAAAGCCTACTTTTTCTAAGAAGCACATCTATATGTTTACAGGCATTCTATTATTATAAGGACAACACACAAAACACTAAGGAGTAGCAATAGGTTATGGAGTTGGCAGTAGACCTTCTGCAGAAGTGTGTTTCCAAAGCCGATGCTGGGTGATGTGGTATTCATTTTCTATCCTTCCACTTTGGGGACCACGGGGATAGAAAAACAGGCAGCACAGAAAAAGAGAAACAGTGGCGTTGAGAGTAAAATAGTTTGAGTGTCATATATGAGCTTGGAGCTCCCTCTCGTGGTTTCTCACACTTTGTTACTCTCCTTTCAGGCACTAAAGGGAATTACTTGCATCATCCACTATCCATTGTAAAAGGACTGTTCTGACTCCAAGCTAGCTAATACTTGTAGTAATAAAGGTAAAGGTTTTCCCCTAACATTAAATACAGTTGTGTCCAACTTTGGGGGTTGGTTCTCAGCTCCATTTCGAAGCCAAAGAGCCGGTATTATCCATAGACACCTCCAAGGTCATGTGGCCAGCATGACTGCATGGAGCACCGTTACCTTCCCACTGGAGCGATACCTATTGATCTACTCACATTTGCTTAATACCCTCATTTTATTGGGATAATGAGACTTTTAGCCACAGAGTGTAGAAAGTGGCAAAGAAGACCAAAGTTATGTGTAATAATTACTACAATAGGAAAACTTACACACATAAAACACAGGATTGTCCCCCCCCCCCCCCACCACACCTAAAATCTAACTGTCAGACAACATCTGTACTACAAGATGAATTACAGACCCAAACGGACAGGCTTCTAATTATCCCTGGATTGGTGGAATGAGCAAAAATGTAACAGTTGATTTCCCTTTTTAGAAAACAAAAAAATCTATTTGTATTTGTATTCGTTAGCTGAAGTTCCCATTACCATTTATTTATTTATGATATTTATATGCCGCCCTTCTCACCCTGAAGGGGACTCAGAGCGGCTTACAAGATATATATATATATATATATATATATACACACACAATATATATATTATATTATTAGCATAGTACAATAACAGTATTATATATTACTATATTGCACCATACCATTATATTGTAATATTATTAGTAATATTACATGTAACATAAAATATATCATTATAATATTGTATTATTATATTGTATTACATTATAATGTTATAAATATTATATGTATAAACAATATATTATTAGAAAAGCACAGGAGACAAGATGGAACATTTGAAGAATTAGCCACTGACAGAAGAATTCAACAGGTCTTATATTATGTCAAGGCTTATGGTGATAGAAATTGGCCAAATTGTAAGGATTTGGGAAATTTACTTTCTTGGAACAAAACTAGAATCCCCCAGTTGGCTACACTGCAGCCGGCATGCTGACTATACCTAAGAAATGTACCCCCACCCCCCACACACACCTGAAACACACAAACAACTTTTCCAAGTAATGCAAACAACTATTAGAATAATTGCAGTTTGATGTATCTGCTCACAATAAAAAACATACAGTTATTTAGAAAGAGATGAACTGGCAATTATTTTTAGTTTCTAGCAACAGTATTCTGTGATAAAGCACAGTAATGACTTATGTATGACTCTCCTAGCGTTGCTCCATTAAGGTAAATGTTTCCCCTTGAAATTAGGTCTAGTCAAGTCCGACTCTGGGGGGTGGTGCTCATCTCCATTTCTAAACCGAAGAGCCAGAATTGTCCATAGATGCCTCCAAGGTCATGTGGCCTGTATGACTGCACTGAGCAGTGTTACCTTCCTGCCAAAGTGGTACCTATTGATCTACTCACATTTGCATGTTTTCAAACTGCTAGATTGGCAGAAACTGGAGCTAACAGCAGGAGCTCACCCCACTCCCCGGATTTGAACTGCCAACCTTTTAGTCAGTAAGTTCAGCAGCTCAGTGGTTTAACCTGCTGTGCCTCCGGAGGCTTCCACTGTTGCTCCATTACAACTCCCATAATCCCTAATCTCTGTCTAGACTACTTTAAGCAGATAGTTACTCCAGTCCAGCAGCAGCAAACAGACCATATATTTCTTCTTTTTGACTACATGTGTGGAAGAACAAACTTCATTTAGAATGATTAACTAACCTTTTGGTTTCTCTTGCTGATCCAGAATCCCACTGCAGGATGTACGGGTGCCATTTTGGGAGGGCTTGCGAGGTCTGAACACAGAATTGGCTCTGGCATAGTTGACCCGAGTGATTGGGTCCATGTCACGAGCTTGAGTCCTATGCCCAAGGAAGACTTTTGCAATTATGAGTTTCCCTGAGAAAGGAAAAGACAGAAGAGGGTCTTGTTTGCAAGGACAACCCGTTGACATCCCAGATGCTTCAAGCTAACCGAGCCCCACATTAAACAGCCGTTGAAAGGACTACTTGCTCATTTATGCATCTGACCATGTGTTAGTCATCATGAGGCCTTGTCTTAAAACCTCAGACTAGAAGAACATGTACCTACTGAGCCCCCCGTGGTGCAATGGGTGCCAGCAGGACTGCTGACCAATAGGTCAGCAGTTCGAATCCAGGGAGAGCAGGTTGAGCTCCTTCTGTCAACTCCAGCTCCCCATGTGGGAACATGAGAGAAGCCTCCCACAAGAATAGTAAAACATCAAAACATCTGGGCTTCCGCTGGGCAACGTCCTTGCAGATAGCCAATTCTCTCACACCAGAAGTGACTTGCAGTTTCTCAAGTCACTCCTGACATGAAAAAAATCCCTGCTAACAGGATCATACCAGATGTTAAGGGGGAAATATACATTCCCTGCAATTCAAATGTCTTTCCCAATGCAGCATGATTTGTTGAGACACATGACTCAGGAATGAGACTTGCCAATGAAATCTTTGCATCATTTCCAAAGGTCAGGCAAAAAGCAAACCACACAAAATGCAAAATGTGCAGGGCAATGGAAAGCCCATGTTTTCGCAAACAGACATTTCTCAGTTCTTGAGGTAGAACAGCTTCTAAAGTACATGCTAAGCATATTATGTTGACTTCATGTAGCTGGCAATTTTGGAAGGATAGGAGATCGAAATGAGGGAGGGCTGAGAAGGTGGCACTAGTTAAGCGGCAGCTACAAACTCAGCAATAATTAAATCTGCGAATGAGAAATCTGCGAATGTGGAAGGGCATGAAAACCTACACTCTCAGCCCCAGAAAACCCCATGATAAGTTTGTCATAAGTCAGAAATAATGGGAAGGTACAGAACAATAATAAAACAGAGCAGGATCTCTAACATTACCATGCCTGGGCAGATCTTCCGGTTCCCCTTTACTTCTGGCTTGTTTTTGCAAATACTCAATTCTTGGACATTCGCAGATACTTAGGCTGTTTGTGAGCAGAACGGCTTCTTCACATTCAGACATCTAAAAAAACATGGACGGTGAAGCATATTGGAACATGGAAACTACTCCTTACTCCAAAAGCCTTTCTGTAAACCAGAGGCGGGCAAAGTGTGCTCCATGGGCAACATAAAACATTCAACTTTCGTGGTGTCCATCCTTGCCCTCCCCATTGGAAAGGGGGATTCTGACTTTTTTAGGAAATATTTTGGTTTCTTTGCCCCAACACCATGGATCACTGTTAAATAGGAAGTTCTAAATATGAGGCTCATAATTCAGAAAAAAAGACTTTAAGATATAATGAGGTCAAGAGGCCATCAGTGGGAAAAGGAGAATGGAATTCGTCTTGTCTCTTTTTAATTTATAGTTACCTTTTTTGTTTCTTGGAACCCTTCCTCTAAGATTTGGATCAATTGCTTTTTCTTCAAGGGCGTTTCAGGGGGATATATATAGAAGAGATATTCCAGCATCTTCCTGTAGTTCCTGGAAAGAGAAAATAACAATAGCAACAATATTTTGAAAAAAATATTCAAAGGATGATGTAAATATATCACGGGACTTTAAGCCTCTAGTTGATGCACAGAATGGAATATGTCTGCCTATTTGGATTCAACTCATAGTCTTGCTGTCACTCCTTCCTTTGGAGAATTCCCTTTAAAATTTGCTCACTTACATGGACTCATTTAAATCTTCTCTGTCCAAAAATTGCTGGAACTTATCCTCAAATCTCAGCCGCAGCATCCGATTGTGCACCCTAATGACACGGTTTACTTTCACTCCTGTGATGCCGTATGGTTTGAAGTCCCAGGCACAAAATCGTGAGAGAATTAACTCATAGCAGGAATTAAACCTAGACCAAGAAGAACAGAGGGATTTGTGTCAATCGGACCACCAAAAGAATTATGCATAAAATCTTTAGGTTGCTGTGAGTTTTGTGGGCTGTCCGGCCAAGTTCCAGAAGCATTTTGCCCACATCCATGGCAAGCATCCTTAGAGATTTGAGGTCTGTTGGAAACTAAGCAAGTGGGGTTTATATATCTGTGGGATGTCCAGGGTGGGAGAAAGAACTCTTATCTGCTTGAGGCAAGTGTGAATTTTGCAAGTTGCCACAGATGCATGGTATACGGTAGACTCCTGCAGATATGATACCTCTTGTCCTTTGCTGAATGTAGCATTTGTTGAATTTTCATGATTTTATGCAGAAGTCTACCGTATACCATGCAGTTATGGACAAGTCTACACAGGGATCACCAAACACAGCATTTCTCAAACACGAATCAAGGAACTAACTCAACCAGAGAAGTCAGCCGTAGCAGAGCACTTGATGAACCAACCTGGACAGAGCATATTATTTGAGAACACAAAAATGCTGGACCGGTCTAACAACCATCATGTCGGAATACACAGAGAAGCCATTGAAATCCACAAGCATGTGGACAATTTCAACAGAAAAGAGAGAACCATGAAAATGAACAAAATCTGGCTACCCATATTAAAAAAACCCTCTAAAATAAGGACAGTAAATAAAGAGCAACACTCAAGAAACAGGAAAATTCCTGACAAGAATAAATCAGGGCCAGCTAACGCCTCCCAACAAAGGATTCCCCCAGGCAGCAACCAGTCAGGTTTTGAAACTCCAAGGCCATTCAATGCCAATTAAAGTAGCCATTTGCAATATTCACACTTGCTTCAAGCAGACAAGAGTTATTTCTCCCACCCTGAACATTCCACAGATATAGAAACCTCACTTGCCTAGTTTCCAACAGACCCCTCAACTTCTGAGGATACCTGCCATAGATGTGGGTGAAATGTCAGGAAATAATGCTTCTGGAACATGGCCAGACAGCCCGGAAAACTCACAGCAACCCAGTGATTCTGGCCATGAAAGCCTTCGACAAATATAACATTTTTGTTTAGTGCTGCCTTGAGTCCCTTCAGGGAGATAGTGGTGGGATACAAGAATAATGTTGCTGTTGTTGTTATTATTATTCCATTTCTACTGAAGTCTAAAGCAAAAAGTTTCTACTGGCATCTGAAAGTAAATTGTTCCTAAAATGGAGTCTTGAGTCCTGAACCATCCCAGCTCTGATCACATGGTCATCCCCCCTCACATCAAAGAGTTAAGGTAAATTTGCATAACAATACACACATATATAATACCGTAAGCAATCTGAATCACATACATAACAAACAAGCCTAGTGGAGGCTTGAGAAGGCTGCCATTTCCAACAACAGAGACCACCAAGGAGCACATGTTCATTTGTAGGTTTTCAGTAAGAATATTTGTTTATGCTGGAATACACATTGGCTGCATTCAACTATTACATTTGGAAAGATCTGGAATGGCGAATGAGCATGAACGCTTCAAGTCCTTGCCTCTTTCCTATGCAATAAAGAATATTTCCTGTCTTCCTCAAACTACACATCATCGTATTATTCACAAGGACTGGATCAAGAGACTTCACTGACTACCCCATCACATAATAAAACAGAACAGAAATAATGAAGTGGGCAGCTGAATTCTATTGTGGCATCGACGATGGACTATGATCTTCTATGATCTGTCTACCTCAAGTGCTTAGTGGCTGCTCATTGCTCCTTGGCCTATCACTGAGTTAGGACTCAACTGGGACTACTAAAGATAGGCAATGTTTTCTGTTTTTTGCGTTTGATTTCATCATGGCTCTCACTGTCCTTATTAGATTCACAATTTTAAATTTGGTGAGTGTTTATCCTAAGGGGCTTCTTATACATTGTTCTGTCGCCGCTGGGCCTGTAGTTGGTTGACTTTTAAAAATAGGATGTGTAACCTTTGCCCAGCGGGAAGCCAGGGGTCTAAGGAGGAGTTCTCAGAGGTTTCTACTACAAAAGAATCTTCAGATGGCTAGAGAAGTACAACAAAGTCTTTTATTAGTGAAATCAAACAGGAACTTCAAGGCTTTCTTGATAAAGTATTGGTTCTCTCAATCTTGTCCACAGGGGACAGGCACTGTCTTCAATAATGTTTTCTTTAAAGGAAAATTCCCCTTTTTAACTTCTTCCAGGCTGACTGAAATCCAACCACCTCTGCTCCGCTACCAGGCCGAACTACTTCTCGGATGCCGAGTGGACCTACCAGCAAGGCAATGGATATTCTCCAGCTGGAGTTCTTTAGTCTTTAAGGCTGTTTTCCTGGAAATTCCCAAAGCTGTGGGAATGCTTCCCTGGAGTTCTTAGGAGACTCTTAAAGCTTTTCTCCTCTGGATTTCTTTCCTTTCTGTTTCTGTTGGAATTTCTGTAACCCTCGAAATTCTTAAAGCTTGAAGCCTTTGTACAGGGGAAGTTACACACATCCTATACAAAAGCTAACCTGGCTGAGACTAACTAACAAAATGGCTCACTTCCCTTCTAAAGCCCAAAAGGGGGCGCGGGACCAGGGAACCTAATGATAATTGACAAGCAATTGACCCAATAACTGCAAAGTAAGGAAAGCCATCTAACTGCAAAGGCACAGAACTTTAAAATACATGCAATAATCAACAAATAGCAAGATAAGCTGGAGCTCCTGGTGCGGCTGTACCAGAACATACATCTTTAAAATAATAATAAATGAACTAATAAATTAATAAATGCATGTCAAATATTCTATCTTGAGATGTTGGAACATAAATACGGGATCACCTGCATGTGCTCTATCAATAAGTTGTAATGGTAGCTCACTGAACCTCTAAATTGCAGTTTATGCAATTACTCTAAAACAGGTTTGGATCATAACACAATCAAAGGCATACATAGTAAAAGTTTAAAAATTCATCTAGCAAAACAAAAAAGGGGAGGGGACACCAACACACTACATACTCAAGTTTTAAAACATCTGAAAACAGCTGTACCAGGCATCACTTGGTGAACCTTCTTCAAAGCGTATATTCCCCACCGATTCCAATTCAGTAAGTAAAAACTGCACTGCCAAATTACTGTTTTTCTTCTTCTTCTTGACTTCAACTTGATAAATGGCCTCAATTCTATAACAGGACAAACAGGAAACATTCAGTTTAGAAGGCTGAAAAACTGGGGCAAGACCCACTCTGTGCTTCTCCCTGGGAATCTGTATTATCAAGACTAGAATGAGCCACTGGTGTAAAAGAAAATGATTTGAGCATTGAACAGGGCCACCGATCCAACCTGGAATCCCACTTTGCAACGTTGGAGAAGTCACACTGTCAAGCTGCATCGACACTGCCAAAATACACTGCCAGTTTCAGAATGCAAATTAACTGGATTATATGAGTCTATACTGCCATATAATCCATATAACAGGGCCTGTGGTGGTGCAAAGAGTTAAACTGTTGAACTGTTGAATCTGCTGACTCAACAGTTTGAAGCCACAGGTTGGTGTGAGCTCCTGCCGTTAGCCTCAGCTCCTGCCAACCTAGCAGTTCAAAAACATGCAAATGTGAGATCAAAAGGCACCCATGCAGCCATGTCGGCAACACAACCAGGAGTTGTTTATGGACAACAAGCTCCCCGGTTTGGAAATGGAACAAGAGCACCTCCCCATGGCCAGAGTTGAGCACTACCTCCAAAAGCTGCAGATAAAAGGGGAAGCCTTTACCTGTTCTGTGTATGTCATTGTTAATTCACTGTATTAAAGGTATTGAATGTTTGCCTATCTGTGTATGTTCTAATCCGCTCTGAGTCCCCTCAAGGAGATAGAGGAGAATATAAATAAAGTGTTGTTGTTGTTGTTGTTATAATTATATTATTATTATTATTATTATTATTATTATTATTATTATTATTATATCCAGTTCAATGCAGCTAATCTACATTCTGAAACTGCATTATATGGCAGAATATATTTAGTCTCATCCTCAGAAAACTCAGTGTTAGTATCACCCTAATGAGTCAGAAACAATTTGAAGGCATAAGGAACAACAACAACAACAACAACAACAACAACAAATCGGCGCAACAGCTGTATCATGGCAAGAAAAAAAGGCTTTTCTTAATGAAAGCTGAAATTCTTGAAGCTAGTGCTACCCTGCAGACCTTGAGATACCTCAGGATATTGCCCCGCAGGCAAGCAAATCTTTTCTGAGCTTCCCTTTACCCTTGAGAAGCAAAGGTATGTTCCTAAGCAAGAGGTTCAGCATTTTACATCCTTTAAAAATCGAACTAAAATAAGTAGAAGCATCACAACATTGACATGGAAGCCACCAGCCTCCACAGATTTGCTCATAAGAAAAAAAATCCACATGCAGTTAAGATACATGGGAAAAGCTTATTCTTTCTTTACTTGTCAATAATACAGACTTCTATTCCAGCAAAAGCCATTTGAGAAGAGGCATTCCTATATGGGTGTATATGAACAAGAGAGAATAGAGATGGTATATGCCTCCTGCAAGCACTACATTCTACACATGGGTCAAAAAAGTGCTAACAATGAAGATAATTTCTTAAAAATCAGCTTTTCATCTATCTAGGGGCAACTATGTAGTTAAAGGTCAATCAATTAATTAAGTCAACAACAACAACATATTTCATTATGGTCCAAAGACCCTTATTGCACCGCAGGTGTACACAATATGCAGGTAATGAGATCAAGTCAGTTGACTAAATATTGTAGCAGTGTTTATATATTAGTATGGAATGGAATTCTAATAACTTGCAACTTTTAAAATTAGTTATATTCTACCTTCAAAGATTTCAAGGTGGCATATTTCTGCCCATTTTATCTATCTCGCCTTCCAGTCTGGGGAACTTGGAGAGTGAGTCAGATCACCCACAAAACCTCACCTTGCTCTTAAGTAATACCGGGTCAGTTAAAAATAACATGCTCGATGTCGAAATGTCCCACATTTCTTGCAACGATCCTTGAGTCAATTTCTATGCACTCTAAATTCTTCCAGGAACAAATGACATTTTATATAGACATGGCAGGATATCTTTGTTGCCTCCTCAAGTGGAGAGGGAAGACAGAGAAGCCCAAGACAAAAAGCAGAGAGATACGAAGTGATACTGTGGACTACAAACTCCCAGAATTCCTGGTTGAGAAATTTTAGAGAGCTTCAATCCAAAAAGAAGATGAAGATTCCATTCCTGGTTGCTTTGAACAACAAGAACAACAAGCATAAGGTCTACCAAGCCCTTTGCCCACTGAGCCCCAATAGCAACCAAAAATATATACTTCACCCAAAGTACATACTCCTCTAATTTTTTGTTCCAGAAGTTTATTCTTCTTCTCAGGCACTCTAATTTATGCAAAAACTGCTGCTCAAGACTGTTTTCTTCCTGGCCCTCATCTGAACTCCCAGCTTCTTCATCTGACTTTTCACATTCAAAGTCTTGATTGGAAATAGATTTGCACGCTTGCATTTTGCCAGATGTTTGAAGTTCTGACAGTTCTTGTTCCAGCTGTTATAAAGAAAAGAAAAAAGCACTCCAGACTTCTGTTTGTAGCATACATTACATTACATATTTTATAGAAATCTGAGGTGCAACTATAGTATATAAAACAAATCACAAAATGGACAGGACCTTAAAAATTACACTATGTAACAAAATTTGAAACATTTTCTGTTCCTGGTTTGTAAGCATTGTTTCCTGTTTAATTGTGTGGAACTTAGTTTGACAGTTTGGCTGTTATAGTCCAGAAACTTTGTTTTTGTGGATGCCACAAACTATGTTGAATTGATTGAGACTTTGTGAGATATTCATTGAAAAACTATAGCAAAATACGTGTAGGATGTCCCACAAAAACAAAGTTTTTGCAGTTAAATACACTTTTCCCCCATGTTTTTATGATAGAATCAAGTAGGAAATGGCATTTATGACCCAGGAACAAAAATCATATTACACAATAAAATCAAAACCAAGGGTTTTCACATTTCCTAATAAAAATACTTGTGGGAATATATTCAGAGGAGTACCACAACCCAGGATGTGTGAAAAGTACCTTAGACATATCAGTGAAAAAGTTTGATAAAGGGGCATAAGTTGCTTCCTTATAAGCATTCTTGCACTAATGATCAGCCTCAGCCACCACTCACAAAGAGCTTAAATATGCTGATGACCTTGACCTAACAACACAAGCAAAAGACTTTGAAACAGTCGAAAACCAACTTACTAATGCCCTGAAAGATCTCTCCAACTGCTGCAAAGATTACCGCCTGAAACCTAACCCTGCCAAGACACAAGTGTGTGCTTTCAACCTTGCAGTTTCTCAAGTCACTCCTGACATGAAAAAAAAAAGTGAAGCCCACAGGAAACTGAAAGTTACCTGGGAAGGCCAAGAGCTCGAACACTGTTCCCATCCTATATATCTCAGTGTCACCTTAGATTGAACACTAACATATAGCAAACACTGTATGAACACCAAGCACAAAGTAGCTGCACGCAATAACATCCTGTGGAAACTTACTGGCAGTGCATGGGGTGCGGACCCAAAATTAATAAGAACATCAACCCTAGGCTTGTCTTACTCAATTGCTGAGTATTCCTGCCCTGCCCACATGACGCAGGTGAACAGAGCACTGAATGAAACATGCAGAATAATCACAGGATGTCTGAAACCTACACCTGTTGATAGACTCTACAAGCTAGCTGGCATTGCCCCCTCCCGCACACCCTGATGTGCAATGGGAAGTTGCTGCCAATGGCAAGAGAAATAAGGTCCTCCCAGGAGACTCAAATCAAGGAAAATCTTCATTAGAACTACCGCTTCTCTTAATGTTCCCCCAGCAACAGTATCCCTCTGGGTGGCTAAACCAGGAAATCTTAACTGGACCACCACCACCACCACCACTACGAGGGTCTTTCTCCAGGGGCAAACCAAGAATGGGCAACATGGAAGTCCCTGAACAGACTCAGAAGCGGAGTTGGCACATCAAAATGCAACCTGGCAAAATGGCACAACCTAGAAGACTTCTCCACCTTGTGTAACTGTGGTGCAGATCAAACAACTCTACATCTGTATGCTTGCCCATAATGTCTTGACTCATGCACAGAGGAAAAATGGTTTAAAGCTACAGAGAATGCGGTCGCTGTTGCCCCATTTCTGTTCTAAAGTTATTTAGTTGCTTGTGCTTCCCCTTTTTATCAGTTTTATACATATTTATGCAACGCTTTTGGCATGAAATAAAAAGTGGCTTCCTTGAGGTGTAGAAAAATGTTTAAAAAAGTTTTCTAAGAAGCACAGAGATAAACTTTGAGGGAAGTGTTAGGTAGGTTTCTGAGGGGGAAAAGAATTGTAATAGGTAATGACAGAAATGCCCCCTATGAATGCATTTTAATTAAAAAAAGTATGGTTAAGTGTCCAAGAAAGCAGATGAATTTAAAACATAATATCTGACCCCATTGGAAACTATTTCACTTCTCCATATTATATCCTAATGCTGGCTGAGTACAGGTCACACATCAGGACAATCAAATGTTGTGGGACTCCCATTTCTTTAAGAATACTTCAGAGTTTTTGGATTATACAGTCAAATGCTTTGTTATAAAGCACAGCTATTTTCTTTTGAAACATTTGAAGGATCAGGATCTAATTGGAGACCTGTGGAAGAAACCCCATCTACCCCCAAGTATAGTTACTGAGCCAAAATGTACTGTTCTGATGTTGTGACCTCCTTTGCTTACGTTCTTGACATTGCAGGTGAAAAGTTTAATACGATCTTCTGGCAACTTCTGTAACTTGGACTTCCTTTCTTTCAGCTTCTCAAGTTCTTCATTTAGTTGCCTGTGGGTGCACTTGATACGCATGTTGTAATACATCACCTTTTTCAACACTGTGGTCTTCCAAAGAGACAGAGAGAAAAAGAACAGCAAAAGAGACAGGTCAAAGGAGAGAAATCTTATTTTTTATGCAATAAAACCACAGCAGTTCAAAACCACTGGTTTATCAGGTGCATGGATGACAAATCATAGATATATTGTGTTGTCAAAGACTTTGATGGCTGGAATCACTGGGTTGGTGAGTTTTCTGAGTGTTTGGGACTGCAACTCCCACAATTCCTAACAGCCTACTGGCTGTTAGGAATGGTGGGAGTTGCAGTCCTAAACACCTGGAGGGCCGAAGTTTGCTCATGCTTGCTCTAAAGCACCCTAGTCTTGCCTGTATGACTCCTCTGCCCCACTAATGGCTTATATACTAATTTAGTCAGGCCCTTCGGGTCTACAATTCCTCAGTCTGCACTCACCTCTGCCAGGTCCTTGATCTGTTTGGGGGATACCTCATAAGTGTCAAGTCTTTGAAGCTGAGGGAGATGATACAGCACATGCGTCGCATAATTGCAAAGAAAACAGACAGGGTTGGGGTCATACTGGGGATCATTCAGGCACAGGTCTGTTAAATGAGGTAGTCTGGCCAGGTTGGTGATTTCCTTTCAAGAAAATCAGAAACAAACAGAATTAAACATCAAATTTGTAAGGCATTTCAATTTCTAGAGAAAGAATTTCATGCCTGTATGCAAGGAACCAATCCATATTTCATTTATCCATGGTTTCACTTATTCATTTAGACATGTAAGTGTATGTATAAGTTATACACCCTTCTCGGTACCTCCATCATTCGTTTTATTGAAAATGACAGCGTTTGCTATGGTCTCACAGATTCATATGACATTCAGGAATGTATCCTCTGTGGACATGAGAGTCAATCAGAGGTCAACAGAAGTGACGGCAAAGAACCCAATTCTGCTAGTATCCACAAGAAGGATGACTCAAGACTTACTTTGAAGGAACATATTTGATTTCCAGACAGGTTTAGTTTTTCTATTTTTCCACTTGGATCCAAGCAATATCCTAAAATTAAATAAAAGCAAAAGAGGAACAATATGCATTGTATGTTTACTGTACGTGTAACTGGTTTACAGTCAGTTACAATATAATACTATACAAAAATCAATCCAAACCCAATCCAAACCCAACAAGTTAGCACCTCTGGAAGGCAATTATATGAATGCAAGATATCCAATGTCTCATAATAATAATAATAAACCTTTATTTATACCCCGCTACCATCTCCCGAAGGACTCGGTGCGGCTTACAAGAGGCTGAGCCCAAGTACATCAACAAAACAACAACAACAATAAAGCAAAATAAATAAACTCATAAAACAAAGCAATAAACATTAACAAAACATCATGACGCATTAAAATCTGCATGGATCTTCCATGCAACATCTATAATAAAAAAGTTCTGCTGGATCATACAAAGATCCATCTAATATTCAGGATAACATTCATATATATATATTTACAAAACATAGTGCACCTCAATGATCACAATCTAGCCTTTCGGAACATCTAATAAGAACATCGGAACATCTAATAAAAGTGGGGATATTCCATAGGCAATAAAAAGGAACAATCACTCAAAGTCTGAAGCCCCATTTACACAGTCATATAATGCAGTTTAACTGCATTGAATTGCATTATGTGGCAGTGTAGATGAGGCCTGGGGCAGGGGAGAAAGCAAAATAGATAGTTCTTCTTGATCCTATCTCTTTATTATTACAGAACCTGATGGACAGATGCTTCTGTGAGCACACAGATATATGCAGATATATATCTCTATCTATCTATCTATCTATCTATCTATCTATCTATCTATCTATCTATACACACACACACAGACACACACACACACATACTTATCCTTAATATGAGCACCAAACATGTGGGCATGGGGTCATGGGATGCACCAAAAGGAGGAAGGCATTTTGCCTCATTTCTTTCTCTTGCTCCACATATACTCGAGTATAAGTCAACCTGAATATAAGCTGAGGCATCTAACTTTACCACCAAAAAAAAATGGGAGAACGTATTGACTCATATATAAGCCGAGGGTAGTAAATACAGCAGCTACTAGTACATTTCAAAATAAAAATAGATACCAATAAAATTACATTAATTGAGGCATACGTAGGCTAAATGTTTTTGAATATTTACATAATACTGTAATTTAAGATTAGACTTTTTTTGAGGTCTAGAAAAGGGTGGTAGGTCTCCCTTATTATAAGGGATTACCATATATACTCAAGTATAAGCCAATTCAAATATAAGCCGAGGCACCTCATTTTACCACAAAAAACTGGGAAAACGTATTGACTTGAGTATAAGCAGAGGGTGAGAAATGCAGCTGCTACTGGTAATTATCAGTAGGTTAAATGTTTTTCAGTATTTACATAAAACTGTAATTTAAGATTAGACTGTCCAACTCTGATTAAACCATTATTCTATCCTTCTTCAATGTAAATGTGCTTATGTATCCTTCTAATAATAATAAAGAGAGTAAAATAATAAATGTACTTGTGATTTTGTGATATGAAATCCAGCATATTGATCTCGTTTGCTGTGACATACTGTGTTTTTGTGTTAGTATAATAATAAATAGAGTAAAATAATAAATGTATTAATAGTAATAGAGTAAAAGAATAAATGTAATAATAACAATAATAAGTAGAGTAAAAGAAAAAATGTAACAATAATAAAAATAAATAGAGTAAAGGAATAAAAGCAACAATAATAGAATAATAGAATAAAAGAATAAATATAATAATAATAGAGTAAAATAATGTAAATGTAATAATAATAATAATAATAATAATAATAAATAGACACAATCGGCACTGACAAAATTGGGACTGACAAAATTACCATCTGTCAGCTGCAAAAGGCTACCCTACTGGGATCTGCACACATTATTCGCCGATACATCACATAGTCTTAGACACTTGGGAAGTGTCCGATGTGTGATCCAATACAACAGCCAAGATAGTGATCTTGTTTGTTGTGTACTAATCTTGTTATGTATCAAATAGTAATAAATAGACTAAAACAATAAATTTAATAAAAGTAATAATAATAATAATAATAACAAAAAAAATAAAATAATAATAACCTTAAATCAAGTATAAGCTGAGGGGGCTTTTTCAGCCTAAAAAAAGGGCTGAAAAATTCAACGTATACTCGCGTATATACAGTAATTCCTCCTTGTTCACCAGCTTTCCAGTCTCTTCAGAGTATTTAAAAAAAATCATACATAGACCTTTATGAATTGTATACATGAAAGCATACCATCTTAACCCTGAGCAATTAAAGCCAGTGCAACGCCTTCAGATAATGCTCAGGTCAGGACTCTGGAAAGTCCCAATATCTTGCTTTTGCTTCAATGGACTTCAATTGTCACTTTTTCAAGTTCAAAATATAACAATTCATTTTATAATAATTTCTAAAAGTTTGCACAGAAGGGGCATGACATACTGTAATATCACTTACCTAGTTTATTAATGAGATTCCCAGCCAAATTGAGGTCTTTCAGTTTCTGCAGTGCATTCAGCCCCTGGAAACATTTTTTTTAAATGGCATTGTGATCAGAAATACTGTAAATCTTTTTTTTTTAAGACAGGCTTATTAATGCAGGATGACATACATTTGTGTTGCACAAAACAAATAGGTAATCAATACTGCCTCGGTTGTGAAATGCCTTCTCAAGATAGTTCTGCCTCATTTTGACAACACAATAAAGCTTCCTCTTCAAGCATCATTCAATTCTTAATGTCTTGCAGCTGATTTTTTTCCTTGTATTGTAAAAACTTGGGAATATGTGTTCATGATAAAAGTTGTCTTTACTATAAATTTGGTTGTCTTATTCCTTATTTGTGTTGTTATATTTGCAACTGTCAAGGGCATTGCTTGTTGGGCAGGATATAAATACCATAAAGTAATAAATGTGTAGAATCCTAGTCAAACCTACTCAAAATTAAGGCTAACTGGACTCCATTAGACTTAGAGTTCCAGCAGCACAGTGCAACGTGAATTCACTTACAACCAATATGTCAAAAGCTCACAGATGAACAGTAGCTAAGAGACATTGAAGAAGATGAGCAAAGACATACCAATTGTTATGATAACACTGCATTCTATGTATATGGGTTCAGTGTCCCACTGGTGGGACACATATCACCTGTTGAGAAGCAATTTCTAAAGAACCTGGGACCAGTATCATATATACTCTCAACAGCTACCGCTGTTTGACATTATTTTAACAACCATTGCTCCTCCCCACTGAAGCCTAGGATTCATAGCTTGGTGAGATATAGGATTAGCATCTCTTATCCAAATTTCCAAAAGCCAAAATATTCCAAAATTGTTGAGATATTGACAGCTTTGCTTTCTGATGGTTCAATGTACCTATATTTTGTTTCTTGCACAAAAATATTCTATAAAATTACCTTCAGGCTATGAGCATAAGGTATCTATGAAACATAAATGAATGTTGTGCATATATTTGGGCTCCCATCTCCAAGATATTCCATTATGCATGTGTGCAAATGTAAGTATTCTATATATCTAGCTGTCCCCTGCCACGTGTTGCTGTGGCCCAGTCTGGTGATCTGGAAAATAAAGTAATGAGAAAGTGTTGGTTTCTAATCTATGTAATTCCTTTCTGCTTGTGAGTAAACAGTATTTCTTGTTGTTTCTTTGTCAGTGTTGATGTGGAGAGTGTCTGGTTTGCCTACTCTGGAATATGCAACATATCATAGTCCTTCTTTAAGGGTCTCTTTCAAATCTGATACTATATATCTGTGTGTGAGAGAGAGAATCATGTCTATCTATCTATATTTATGACTGGATGGCTCTTTGTCAGGAGGGCTCTGATTACATTTTCTTGCCCTGGTGAAGAGAGTTGGACTGGATGGCCTTAAGTATTTTCTGTTGGTCATGGGGGTTCTTTGTGGGAAGTTTGCCCCATTTCTGTCGTTTGTGGGTTTCAGAATGCTCTTTAATTGTAGTGAACTATAAATCCCAGTAACTACAACTCCCAAATGTCAAGATCTATTTCCCCCAAATTCCATCTGTTTCCATATTTGGGCATATGGAGTATTCGTGCCAAGTTTGGTCCAGATCAATTATTGTTTGAGTCAACAGTGCTCTCTGGATGTAGGTGAACTACAACTCCCAAACTCAAGGTCAATGCTCACCAAACCCTTCCAGTGTGTTCTGTTGGTCATGGAAGTCCTGTATGTTTAGTTCAATTCCATCATTGGTGGAGTTCAAAATGCTCTTTGATTGTAGGTGAACTATAAATCCCAGCAACGACAATTCCCAAATGACAAAATCAATTTTTTGAGTGGTGTCCAAATTTGTTGTCAACTCCCCCAGTGGTTTTTGAGTTCTGATGGTATCACAAACGAACATTACATTTTTATTTATATAGATATATAGAGAGAGAGAGAAAGAGAGAGAGAGTGTGTAAAGGTATCACCTTCTTGCCTGAGCGGTACTTATTGATTTACGCACATTTGCATGTTTTCAAACTGCTAGGATGGCAGAAGCTGGGGCTAACAGCGGGAGTTCATCCTACTCCCCGGAATCGAACCACCAACCTTTTGGTCAGCAAATTCAGCAGCTCAGCAGTTGCAGCTCCACCAAAAAGGGGTCATGCATGCATATATGTATGTATGTATGTATGTATGTATGTATGTATGTATGTATATCCAAAATTCTAAACCCTTCTGATCTCAAGAATTTTAGATAAGGGACACTCAACCACTATTACTACTACTACTACTACTAATAATAATAATAATCTTTTATTTATACCCTGTCCTCATCACCTATGGGGACTCAGGGCAGCTTACAAGCACACAATGTAAACCAAACATGTAAAATTAACAAGAGCAATAACATCAATAAACACAAGGCAATCGTTGTTAAAAGATCCATACAATCAATTTAGCCTTCCCTGGCTAAAGATAGTGGTCTGGCTGCAATCTTAAGCATTATCAAAGGCCTGCAGAAAGAGCCAAATTTTTAGTTCTTTCTGAAAGTGCTATAGTGTGGGGGGTTGCCCAAGTTCTCTGGGGAAGGTGTTCCAGTGCTGGGGAGTCACCACCAAGAAGGCCCTCTCCTTCATCCCCACCAAGCGCACTTGAGACCAAGAGAGAGCCTCCTCAGCAGATCTTATTAGAGCTTGCGCTGGTTCATGGGGAAGATGCCGTCACGAAGATAGGCTGGACCAGAACCGTGTAGGGCTTTATAGGTGATAAGCTGCACTTTGAATTGGACCCGGGAACTTATCGGCAGCCAGTGGAGCTGCTCAAATAGGAGTGTGATGTGCTCCCTACAGTTAGCCCCAGTTAGCAACCTAAGAACTTTCTGTTCTTGGTCTGCTCCCCTGAACTGTGCCATAATTTTAAAAATAAAAGCACATTAAAAGCCAAGTGTCAGAAGCTTGTCTAAATAAAAGAAGTCCTACCCTCAATTTATTCAAAGGAGAATTAAAACAACAGTAATCAATATGCAACCCGACCATACCTCTATTTCTTTAATCTGGTTCCCATTCAGCCAAAGAACCTCCAGCCTTGTTAGTGTCTCCAGATTTTCAATAACTGGAATCATATTGCAGTAGAGGCAAAGCTTTTGCAAAAGAACACATTTTTCTAAACCAGCAATTTTCTGCAAAGAAGGAAACATATCTCAATTAAAGTAAACCAACAGGAAAAGTCAACTGAAGGCCCAGGCTGGGTCTACATTGCTATATAATCCACACTTTACTAATGAGGCGGTGCTGTAAGACCATTGTGTAACTCCATGCTCCAACTTTTTGATTTTGGCCATTTCTCTTTGAGGAGAAGTGGATACGTTTTACAGAAAAATGACTTTTACTTTGGAAAAAAATGTTTACACTTGCAAGGCAGGGTTAGGCAATTGTGGCCTTCCAGATGTTTTTGATATGTAATTATGGGAGATGCTGTCGAAAAACATTTTTAAAACGGCAGTTTCTCATCCCTGCTTTAAAACTTTTATCTAAGTATGTCCACAAACTGCTCTTTACCAGATTACTGGAATAGCCATTTTCCAGCATCTCAGCACAGCTGTGACTTTGTTGTTGTTGTTTATTTGTTCAGTCACTTCTAACTCTTCGCGACCTTATGGACGAGCCCACGCCAGAGCCCCCTGTTGGCTATTGCCACCCCCAGCTCCATCAAGATCAAGCCAGTCACTTCAAGGATACCATCCATTTATCTTGCCCTTGGTTGGCCCCTCTTCCTTTTTCATTCCATTTTCCCCAGCATCTTTGTCTTCTCTAAGCTTTCCTGCCTTCTCATGATGTGGCCTCTACTATCCTTCCCTCCAATGAGCAGTCAGCCTTTATTTCTTGAAGTATGGACTGGTTGGATCTTCTCGCGGTCCAAGGCACTCTCAGAACTTTCCTCCAACACCACAGTTCAAAAGCATCTCTCTTCCCTCGTTCAGCCTTCCGTATGGTCCAGCTCTCACATCCCTAGGTGACTACAGGGAATACCATTGCTTTAACTATGCGGACTTTTGTTGACAGTGTGATGTCTCTACTCTTTACTAGTTTATCGAGCTTGGTCATTGCTCTCCTCCCAAGAAGGAAATGTCTTCTGATTTCCTGGCTGCAGTCTGTGTCTACGGTAATCTTCATGCCTAGAAATACAAAGTCTGTCACTGCCTCCACGTTTTCTCCCTCTATTTGCCTGCTATCAATCAGTCTGATTGCCATCATCTTGGTTTTTTTTTAATGTTTAACTGCAACCCAGCTTTTGCACTTTCTTCTTTCACCTAGGTTACAAGGCTCCTCAGCTCCTCCTCACTTTCAGCCATCAAAGTGGTATCATCTACATATCTAAGGTTGTCAATGTTTCTTCCAGCAATTTTAACTCCAGCCTTGGATTCATCAAGCCCCGCATTTCACATGATGTGTTCTGCATACAGCTGTGACTAGAATCCAGATTTTCAAAATGCTTGTTAATCCTGCCTGATGAAGCAAAAAGTTTGGAGTCACCTCAGGGATTGATAAAATTATTGTGGCGTGACATTTATTTATTTATTTACAACATTTATATGCCGCCCTTCTCACCCTGAAGGGGACTCAGAGTGGCTTACAAGACATATATACATGCAATATATAATATAATATATTACATACTACTATATTGTATTATATTGTAATATTATTAGTAACACTGCATGTAATATAAATATATAATTATAATATCATATTATTATTAGTAGTATTATATTGTATTACATTATAATATTAGCTGAGAGAGATAGGCTGCCATGGTGACAGGCCAGAGGAGGTG